GTTAAGGTCAAATATTTAGACCAAATTCTCTGTGAAAAATACTGATGAATCAAATATCTTTTTGTTCATTCTAATATGAACTTATTCCCTCTGTAGTGAAGTATGCTGAAAAGTCTTCATTAAAATCTTTATATTTTGAAATACCAAAATATGATTCAAAGCAGTTGAAGAGAAACCTATGTATTCTGCTCAAATTGCTGTTCTCACTGTTGTTAAGTTAATGAGTAAAGAAACAAATATGAAATATGTGGAAAAATTGTCGATTAATAAATTATGATATTAATCATATAATAAATTCGTCATCCATGTTAAATTCTGCTTGACTAAAAGTAAAACGCAAGCGGAACGGAAAAGTAGTTTCAGTTCCTTAACAGAACAGAACACCTTGCACAACAAAAGAATTGACTGATCAGCTAGTGTGATGAACTGCAAGCAGCTACCTATCACTCATTTATAAGCGAGTAAGGTATGGCAGTTTTTAGGCAAGTTTATTTGAACTTTGTGGAATGGTAGTAAGCGATATTTAGTGGAAGAACATTTTCTTTCATACAGAGAACAGATATGAAGTGCTTAGTAATGGTAACAGAAAATGCAGCAATTTACAAGAGATTGTAGATGTGTTGATCAGATTTTACAGGTAAGGGTGATTTGAGTATTTCAGGAGTAAAGCATCGGTGTGCTTCTTTGTTTAGTTTGATTATTACTATTATGCGTATAAGTGATCAACAGTATGGTGTTTGTAGCTACAGTGAACATACCAAGGTAGCCTTTAGTACTTATTTGTTCTTCACATGTAATTCAGATCCCTAACGTATACAGTTTCAGAAGGGAAAAGAAGACAATGTGTGGGATTCCTTCGCTAAGCAAATAACTTAAAATTGTAATGATCCTGTGTTTACTAGTCGATAATAGCGCTTTGAATGGATAAGTTGGTGCTACTTTCATGAATTTGCACTGCATCACGAAATGAAATTCTCACCTGAAATGTACGTTTTATGGACGCTACGAATTTTGAACAAATAGATAACAGACTTGTCAAAATATTTTATTTGAGAAGTGACAGTAGTATAAGGTCCAGTGTATCAGTCATGATGAGAAACTTAAAATTAAAGAATCAAAGAGGAAGCATGAAAAATTTCGTGACATAACTTTTTGTCATTATATGAAATTCTGCTTACTGATATGCCTTGTGTTAGAAAAAATGTACAAAGGATAGACGTACTTTTTTATGTACTCAGAGCTCTAACGTAAATAAATACAGAACACTGAGAATTCCAGTGCGAAAACTTGTTGTTATAGTCCATACTATGAACTATTTCTACAAGTTATTTGCCAATGGAAGATGGTGATCATGTATACCTATCGATGTCTTGGCATCCAGCTGTGTCGGAAGTTATTCAACCTGTCGTCCTACTAACGCTGCTGCAGCTAATTGACTCGGTGACTCCGCCCAAAAAATATGTCCACATACACAAATACAAGTATTGATAAACTTAATGGGATGTCACGTACTCAACTATATGTCATATAAGTTAGTGCTTAGGTAAGGATCGCACTTCCTCAACAACGATACCGCTGAGAAGTTCCATCTAAGAACAAAACAATACCCACAGCTTTCCAGTGGTTCTCCAACTGATGTCAGTTCTCGATGAATACCATTTTGAAATGAATCAATCTTCACAAACCTCCAGAACGATCTACGATAAGTTTAGTAGCATAATTTCTTTTACTACTGATGATGTTGATTTTCATTTCCAGATTACGCAGTTGTGTGCTGATCTATTTCTTTTGGTTGTTATCTGTTTAGATAAGTTGGTTAGTGTCGTTCACGGGGGCTATAAAAAGAAAGAAAAGTATGACGACTTTAATCTTGTGTTTAAGCTACCGTGGTTGAGCCAATAAACTATTCCATCTGGTGAACTTCTCCAATAATTAAGGTTGGGAAACATGTAATATAAATTGATTTTACCACTGATGCAACGCGACCACAATTTTATAGATACTAGAAAATTGTTAAATCGACAACAGCATGAAGACCATTCCTCGCTATTTAGTGTAAGATACCTTCGCATAAAGCCATTGATGAACAAGCACAATAAATTCCTTACACAAGCTGGTGTTTTCAAGTGGGAATGAGGATATTTTCGATGTGTCTGTCAAGGTTGATGACCAGTTCAACATTCTTATTCTGTTTTGCAGTCTTCAATGACCTAGTTTCACGGAAATCTGAACACTACTGCTCAGTCCACTGGGACAAGATCCTAAGTTGATGTTAATTGATATTGTAACTGTATATCAATGGTTGACAGGCTACCAGAAAGATAAGAGTTTAGTCCAGTCAGGATAGGAGTAGGTTTCTGAAGTACTGACATTATGCTATAGTGAAAAGTATTTCCTATTATTTGGTTCTGGCTGAAACAAACCTATTACATATGCTAGTCAATTGCATAATAGTTTCATTCATCAGAGTACTTCGAAAAAGACTGCCCCATCTATTTGTAGGCATCGTGGAGCACGGAACTCTTTACGACTCTATCCGCAAGCACAACATCGGTGATGACAATATATAATACAATACCACAGGCTACGAAGATGGATGGCCAATCGAACCGGTCCGGTAAAAAGAGACTTCAAGCTAGATCAAAATTCATAGTAAAGCTAGTTACAAGTCAATCGAAAGTCTACGAGTCATTTAGTCACATCTTAAGTTAGAACGCCAGGTGAATGCAAACATAGCCTCCAGGTAAATGGTTGTGAAGTATATATGCAGTCGGCTACTGCATCACATATTGCTATCATTCCTCAAATGCTTAGGAACCACATTGACGAAACTCACCAAACTGCTATGAGCACATATGGTGACTGCTTTGGGTGATAGATGCTTTCCTTTGGAATGGGAAAGAAAATGAGCTCCGATATGATACCTAGAAAACACTCATTTCAAGAAGTGGGCTACAACTTCTGATGTATTTGAAATGCTGATGCACACGTTTATGTAAAAACGACTGTCAAGTTTCGTCTGTATTTACCTGGGTAAAAGCTTTCGAAGTCAGTCAATACTTTAGATGATGCTAAACGAGGATTACGTTTGTGTATGCTCCTTCGGCTTTTTGTACCAGGAAAATGATAGAAAATGTCACATTCCCACAGAAAACTATATAAACCCGCAGGTACACAAAGCTCTAGGCGATTTCTATCATATCTTATTCAGGATAAAAGCAGGATCATACAAGAATTTATTCAGTAAGACAGTAATTACATACTGTCCATATGACCAAGGTCGAGAATTCCCACATCCTTCTGATGTAATCAACAGTATAACACTTCCATTCTGAAGATTGATGTAGCACCTAAAAGATGTTCAGAAATGCTAGTAGGAATATGATGAGGTTACAAGTAACCCTTTAATAGTACAGGCAATTTTAACACCAAATTAGAACTGAAACTTCCCAATCTATCTTTCATTCCAATGTGAGTCTACGACATAAAACGCTGTATAAACTGATGTAGGGTGTGGAGACTGCATACAATTGTGTATAAACCCCTTCAACTATAAGCAATATTTTCTTTTCATCGTTTCTTTTACATATTCTGTACATTATTCCTAATACTTGTAAAAACGAATGTTGTTTATGCATACACCTTTTTGGTTGTGGCGGTAATTGCATCTTTTGCTGCTGCTAATCGTGGAAATATAATGTGCTTCTAACCATTCCGACTTCTGCCTCCGTGACTATTGCCTGTCGTGCATAATAACTGATTGTCTTGGGAACTTACAGGACTTCTCATCCTACTTTCAGATATTACGACAATCAAGCCGACCGACGACCACAGAGGAGAGACAACAAATATCGCCTTCTGATCTCTGGAGTTTCCCAAAATTGTGGTGGACAATACCGAAGAGATAACTTCCAAGTAACCAGTGATTATCTATAACATTGACAATACTATTTGTGCTATAACGTATAACTTTTCATACTTCTGTATCATAAAATCCCTTTTTCTTGTAAATTGTACGCAGTTTGTCATTTTGGTTTACTTGACATTCTTTGGGTCCACTACAAAGGAGAGATATGCCATCAAATGTATGGGATTTCGATATCTTCAGCCAGAGATTGTCTTCACGAAAGTACTGATTGCATAATCTACTAATCGTATTCAAACAAGGCAATTTCATTCATCTTTATATTTCATAACTTCAAAAATGACCTTATAATCAGTGAAATAAATAACATTAGATTAATTTAGCACGTTATTTGCTTTTATTTAGTACTATGTAACGTGAGTTGTTTTTTTCTACTTCAGATAAATTGAAAGCTGAAAGAAATCTCAGTTTCTAGAATGAACAAATTTTAACACGAATAATGAAAATAACTTCAGAATCTATCTGTGACCCAGTTACCTTATTTTAATATATACGCATAATAAACGTGACTTTCAAGTGTTATATATATATATATATATATATATATATATATATATATATATATATATATATATATATATATATATCCTAGCAAACTGGTAATTCTGTATGATCGATAAGCAACATCCCAATCGGAAGGATTAGTAACATACCTGGTAACCAAAACAAAAGTAGGTGGAGATGGGTTCGGACCAGTGGCACCAGGGTTGGTGTTCAGGAGCTTAAACCAACCAGCCACTGTCGTGTATTAGTAATTATTGGCGTTGATTACTTGTAAAATCCAGAAAAACTGGGCCACTTCGCCTACATTTGTTATTCAGTTCTATTTCATGTACCACCGTAAAATAATTTGTTGCTTCTTATTAAGAACTAATGATTTAAATATAAATTGTCTGACAATTTACGTCTTCTTATTGTTTTGTCGAAGTTTATCAAGGGAACTAATTGTTTTAAAAAGATTTAAATATAATTAAACAGAAACAAATGAAATATAATCCTAAAAACGAATTGTAGTGAATTAAGTACGTTTTCGCCTACATCCTATATAACGCAGGTTCAAATCAATAAGACGGTCGGCTACTTGAGCTCCAACACAAAAAATTCAACTGAAAAATGTCTTATTCACTTTGTCGAACATGAAAATGTATAGTACTTACAGCCGATTGGTGTGCTTGTAACATACCAAAGTTACTATATACTCCTCTTACTCATAATACACGAATCCAGAAAAAATGGAATGCTCACATGGAAGGATCATCATTCGACAATGTCAGTATGATGGAGCTTTGTGTACAAGCATGTGCCCTGCATATTTTCATTCGGAAAACCTCCGAAATCCTTAGCTACTTACACGTGTGTTCCATCACATCCCTTACCTTCTACATTTTAGCTAATATCTGTAAAACATTTTTCCTATCTGTACTGTTAACATTCACTACCAACACAATATGCGCTCTTGATTGCATGGAAACATACCATGTTCTTGTTCTCATGGATTCTGCTTCTTTGTCCACAACTTGTGCTAACGGATTGACTTTGAAAAATCATCTCTTTGTTCGATTCAAGCGTATTACTCTTCAAGCTTCATAGTAATCACACTGCTCAGCGCTTTCAAACATCCAGGTTGCCAAGTTTTATATGTGGTATAGTGGACAAAAAAAATGTTTCCAAGCGACTCTTATTTTGTGGGTTCTTGATTGTCTTATCTTACTACATTGGTATTTGCGTATGAGGTATTTTTTAAATGGTATTAATTGCTTTGGCGTCCACTATACCTGTTTATTCACACTATGGTATTACAGTTAGTTCATAGAATATCAACCAGTCAGTTGAGAAGAGTCACTTTCGGTTGTCAGTCGTACATCTCAAAAACAGACAGGGGGGGGGGGTAAGAATAGTGAGTCTTCTTCATCTAATAACTATTCAGATTTCTTCAAGGTTGTCATTTCCATGTGTATAAATAAGAAACAACATTGCAACCTGCTTTAGCATAATAATAGTGATAATAACAATCGCTTTATTCCAAATAATATGTCTGGTGCCATGTGAAATTCTCAGCAGGTAATATTCTAAAAAGCTACTCACAGTGCAATGTTTAAAGACGAAATGATTATCGTATCGCAATAATGTTAATAAAATCAGTACTGAAGGCAATAATGTGAAAAAGTCAACTGGAGTTAGATGAGGATCTGGTTGCAATGGGGAAAGAATAGAAAAGCGACAGTAAGTTTGGTGATTCATTCACCCGGTACAAAAATCTGTAATTCGAGCTGAGTATCCTAGAAATAGTAATACGACGTATTTTTGTACATCTAAAAGTCCATTCATTTCTAAAGTGATGCCTTTTCTTCGATATAATGATATTATGCAATATGTTTGGTTGGAAAAGTTTTTTTTAATGCTTGAGAGTACATTACACGTTTCGAAGATATATATTCAAAAGATTAAAATAAATTGAAAGAGGATAACTTGATGTAATATGTTCAGTGGAAAACTTCTGATACTATAAGTTTCAACCAGGCCACTAATATTAGTATGAACTTGATTGATAGCATTTTCAATACTACATAGTCACTTATCAAATACATGTTGTAACTCTGACCTAAATTATTTATTACCTACTATTATGCTTTTTATTTATAATCCTATTTCATAACCCACTTTCACAGACTCACAAATTTATTTTGAACTTATGTGACAGTTTTTAAAAATTGTAAATTCATGCTGAGTACTTCGAATATCTACCGTCCCCGACCGATAGCTGCTACCTTGACGTGGTGGTCGGGCTTGCATATCACAATGACCCAACGAGCCATGCTGGTGGAACGCTTGTTCCCTCGAGGTCCTACCATGCCAGAAAGGTCTGTTGGATAGTGGTTAGATGAAAAGCAGTTACCGTTGTGGTGTAAATTGCTACACTATGATGAAGGTCTGAGGGCGAAGTCGTACTGCTGCTAGCTGGATGGGGTGTGACAGCAGTAAGGTGTTTCCCTTGGATGACCCAGCAGTGCCATGCTGATACTGCCTTGTCAGTGGAAGGGGGGGATAGAAAAGGTCGGCCCCAAAAATAACACACTCCACCATGCCCCACGGTCTGCCGGGCCGGCGGTGTTGGCTCACTTGTCGTTTCCTTTCGACCATCCGGCCCCAAAAATACAAAAGCTCAAAACAATCATACTCAAAAGGCTACATGTGACAGGCCTCAAGCAGATGTCCAATGGGCTCTGCGGTCACACAAATCTCTTTCAGGTACCTTAAGAAGAAATAGCCTTCCACGGTGTGGGCAGCCGGGAAGTGTCAACCGCCCTCACAACTCTGTCAGCACCCAAGTTTCTTCTGACTGCTAATATCTACCGTTTCCATTAAAATCTTCGACGACATGATTATGTCATTTTCATATGATGATCAGTAAACAAATTCCGGTCAAAACATCATCCGGTAAATAATACTGTATCGATGTGTATCATATTGAATGAACAATTTAATACTGGGATGGCTGTCATACTAAACGATTTCAAATTTAAGGAACATACCATAATAGAAAAGCAACACTAAAGTCTTAAGTCCGGCAGAACAGACCGATTTGAGCTCGTCTTCTGAAGAAGGATGTCAGAGGAATGTTGTTTGCACACATTTAAAAAACTACTTTCATAAACATACAATGAAAACTCTGGATTTTTTGAAACTAGGACTTGACTTCTCATAGTAAACTACACCCATCTCCTTAACACTACACATACTAACATAAAACGAACATGTGACTAAGCGTAATTCAGAAGCGGTCTAGCTAGACACTTGTGCAACTGTTTTTAACCATGATTATTTGGTACATTACAAAATATATTGTTTTATTCGCATCTGATAGAGACAAATCCAAAGTATAATATTAGTTCATTGAGTGGACACACTATAAACCACCTAACTGCAAGTGATTCTAAAGATCATTCTATCGACTGTCGAGATAACCAGTGACGTTTCTTTATTTCAGCTGAACAGGTAGTTTTTCATAAAAAGAAATAAAATTAGGTATTTCAGTAGTTGCTAGGATGACCTTCAGAGTAACATTTTTACCAATCTTAAGGATTCCACAACTGATAACCAATATCTCTTGGACATTCAACCATAATTCACATTGAGCCTGAAAATAAACTACGGTTTATCTCAGCCTATTTCTTTCATATAAGTGTGATCAATACAGAAACAACAATAAGCTTTAAAAACATCCAGGAAACTATTTATTATCTTCCATTCCTGATGGATGTGAAACCTCAATCGGTAAACCCAGGAATCATAACAAAACGATTGCATAATAGTCGTCTTTCAATATAATATATGCTTAAGTGTGTACATGTATCACTGACAATTCAATTGTAAGAAAAACCACTAAGTATATAATAGCTATTAAAGTGAATAAGAACAACAGAGACCCTGTTTATTACTTTGTGATAAACAATATTTTTTGTACATGACCTATTTTCATTTAAGATAATGACATAGTGTCACGACCTGATGATAGCCTATCTACTATATGCAAGTTTCTTTTTCAAAGTGAGAGAGAGAGAGAGAGGTGAAAATTTACAGTAATAACAATAAAGATAAACAATGGAAACAAGGTACATCATCGACAATAAAAGTAAGAACACGAAAAAAGACACATAGTAGTAACCGCTTAAGACACATAAAATAACGTGGAGTATTATAACCATGATGAAGCCTAACCTTATGAGCATTAAATTACTGACGACGATTAATTAGTAACGTTATTCACCATCATAATATAATAAACAAATTATCACTGAAAGATAGATCTTCCCCTGTGTATGCAAAACAATCGGAGATAAGGAAAAATCGAACAATGAGATTGTCTTCTTCCTTTTCACCCTCTCTATTAAACATTATAAAAGATAGATGGTATGATGAATAGGTCTTGCCATGATCTGAATTCTTATCACTGTTAATATAGGAGGATGACAGAAAAACACCCACAGAGTGAACCAACAATTAGTGTAGCATATAAAGCTGTCTGTTTACATTGAGATAATTCAATTAAGTGATTTAGTCAGTTAAACAGTTTCGTAAATTAAAGAATAATCATCGAAAAGAAATTCGTGGCTTAATTCAGTAAGCTCCATTGCTCATCATTATCATTGCTCCAAGGGGAAAGTAGTGTTTTTATTGAAGTCCAGTTGTACGATAAATAAACACAATCACCCCATCTACACCAACCATCTTATGTGTATATCCACGTGAATACATGAGAACGGTAGAATATGATTGCAAGAGTTAAATGATGAAGAGAGTAAACCAGAAAGTATTGTGTGGTGTAAAAGAGGATTATCACTATTATCTGTATTATTTCCCAGTGAAAATCAATAAAAGGAGAATATATACGTTAGTTAAAAACAACATAAATAGGACATATGGTAGAGAAATATATATATCAACAGACCGATAAAGGAAAACACAGCTGAATATAAAAATGCGAAAGGAAACAGAGAGATTTCAACAATGTTCTATGAGCATTCACTGTGACCTTCATTAGCAAGGGTATTGTCAGTTCCTGTCGGGACATCTTCATCTTCATCGTCAATATTCACAAAGCCAGGCCATTCAGTGTACTCATCTGAGTCGATATACTCTTGATTCTCATTTATTCGGTGTATACCAGATCGTAGAAGTGGAGTTCCTTGTCCCTTAGCTGATATATAAGTAGGAATGAAGAATATTCATACAAATGAGTAGTATAATAAATTAGATCAGCAAATCATGGTGACAGCCAAAATATTTTAAATAAGTTAATGGATTTTTATCCAGGTCAACGAGGAGTACCACAATCTTGAGGTACACTACCAAGCCCGGAAACGACAACGGTCACCTTCAGTCCACATCCCTACAGATACCAAAGAAAAAAACAGGAGCACTTTCCCCCCTACATTGGCCGGAAGTAGATAGAAAGACAGATAAGATAAACATAGGACCAAGCATTGTGTGTAACAGTTTAATTCCTGCACATCATATCCGCAGATCAAATGTTAATGCAATAAGATGAAAGAGAAACCAGTCAAAAGGAGCAGAAAGCGGCAAAGAAGAGGAAAGAGTAGTTAAGAAATACTCGATTAGGTATGACGATTATAATGAGAATAATAACTGCATACAACTGCACCACCGGTATCGATTCTGAGCCATATCATCTAATCTCCATCCACTCCTTTCTGTTGTTACCCAAACCCCAAACAGGAAGTCTAAACTTCTCTACACGACTCAAACCAACAGTCAAAGATTTCATCGACTGATGTCATGTTTCAGTGTCGCCGCACCTCAACGTTTCCTAGCCTAAACCTAATTCAGTCAACATTGTAAACCTAGGTAGACGGTGACCAGGCATGCATCGTGACACATGTCCCAGTCAGCAACCACAGTCGTCAAAGGTTCATTACCTCACCAAATGACTTGCCTTCCCCCACCCCACCCCCCCCTAAAACTCTACACCTGACGTCTACATTACTGACGTGACGACACCACGACACATGACCTATACTATGAAGGCAATGGTGGTCGAATAATTCAAACTTTCTCATATCCTCTACCTCGAATGGCCATGTTTCACAACCATTCAGTAGAACAGAGCAGATTGCAACGCGATGCACTCAACGATTGATAGGCAATGAGATATCACAGCAGCGGCATAAATGGTGTCAGCTAGTGAGCCAAGCGAGTCTTTTGTATCCGTCCAGAGAGTTCGGCGGTCACTGACCAAAGCACCAGCGGTGATCCAACTTCTCAGGCAAGCGAAGTGGTCAGTGCACCCAACCATTTCACTCCCTAGGCAGCACTGAGGACCAGTCTGGAGCAACGGTTCGCATTTGTGTGGTGAGAAACGCAACCCGAATATTCTCGAATTGCCATCCAATGTGTGTAAAAGACTGCGTCTTGTCAATGTCACTACCTAGCTGGGCTATGCCAAATACACACTCTAGATCAGTCATTATATATCTGTGGTACTAGTTCATTTAGCCCTGCTGCTCTTCTGCGTTTCAGCTAACCTACAGCTTTATCGACTTCTATGTGTTGAAAGTCCTATCACAACTTTCCATTCACGCTGCAACTGGATAGCGGGCAACAAGTTTGGTTAGTAGCCGGAGACCAGCTGAACTGTTTCGTAAAAGTGTTCCGTTCACCATTTCAGTCGTCTCTCCTGCAAGTGAATCACAGACCCATTCTTTCCTGCAAACCACTGACGTTTTCACCTCAATTTCCTTAATAAATCTGAATAACTGTCTACCGTTACCTAGCGCCGGTGTTTTTTCCGCCTCTTAAGCGTTCGCCACCAACCACTGTTTGCGGTCACTGTGTAGACTTTTCGCCAGTCAACATTTCACTTGCTTCTGCCTTCTCATTGTGTTCTGAGCTTGCAAGAATGCGTTCGCATGCACCCATTATTTTAGAAGATGCCAAGATCCACTGACCCATTTTAACCACTCTCTGAGAGTTCACTACGGTCTTCACCGCTGCTTTTACAACAGACTGGAGATGGCTCCAGGTTTCTTCTGGGTGAGTGATTTCGTTCTACTTTCCACTGAAAGCAGCCTTATTGACCTGATTGTCAAGCTGCGAATTCAGTGGTCTTTTTGTTATAGTTTTTCTACATCTGTTTAAACGCAGACACATATGTGCTCGAACCAGTGCAGGATCGTTATCTAAACACGCGCTCTGAAAGAAGGGGGAATCTTCGAACGACCTCTTTATCCTCGGCAATAAATGATAGCAGTATGCTCTATCTGTACCCACCACTGATTTGAAGACCGTGGAAACCACATCAGATAATGTATCTCATGTCTGAAGTTCGAGCAGGTCAAAAACAAATGGTTGTCTGAGAGCACTGGGGACAACAGAGTGTTTTATCAAATTTTGAACTTGTTAGATGGTTATTTCTGCATCCTAGTATTCTTCGTAAAAGGATTCAGACATAAATTCCACGGTTTTAAAAAGTACTGTTCTCCAATAAGTTATCTAGTTATTGTAGTCACTTCTGCCATAACAAACGTCGCTCGCTACATGTTTATGATTGTAATACCCGTTATACAACTTACTAGATAGAAGTGATTGGTTGCCGTTGGTCGTCATGGGTACTATCACTAACTGCCAAAAGGTACATCGAGATAATGGGACCCAAATAGAAAGACAAGAGCAACCTAGAACATCACACACAAGTGCATCGGTTTAAGTTACCACACCTCCCAGAAGCATGCACGAAACAAGTTGATACGGAAAGAGTAACATCAAAGTAGACAAAGATGTATCGTAGGAGAAGGAATTTGAAAATAAAGGTTCGTGAAAATGTTCAAACACTTTAGAAGATACTAAAGAGTGACCAGATCCGCTCCACTGGCTCCGATTATCACCAATGACACCACCAGTCATAAAACACCGAGTCATATCGTTTCAGCGACCTCAGCCACGTAGTCCATACACTCCTCCTACGCAACTCACACCAACAGTCAGGAACTTTATGCACTCATCCCAAGTATTCCTCTTCTCTCCCCACCCGAACCCGCTTCCAACCTAATCAACTACCATAGCATCCCACGTAGATGTAGGCGGTGAATCGGGATCCACAACACATCACAAAGCCACCTCAGCCCACAACGGTTCACAACCTCATCCACTGACTTCCTTCCCTTCCAATCTACCTTTCACCTCACCTCAATATTAATTACTCCTAGGCTCATTCTCTTACTGTCCAAAAAATCCTATCACCCCTAACAATGCATCGATATCTACTGTCAGACACCGACATTCAACAAATTCCTAGTTGGTTCCCAGCCCGACTAATTATTTATGGAAAAGACAATCCACGTGTACTAACGTCTTTTGGGGTCGAAACGTCGAAGACAAGAACAAACGAAAACATATCTAATACATAGGTAGTTCCATGTTTATAATAATACCATTCATTGGCTGATTCACACTCTGTCTTCATAACTCAACAAGCTATAGCATAAAATACATTTTCATTACTCCCTCTACAGACTACGCTCTACACTCTATCCCCTACATCACATTCCATCATACCCCCCTCCCCAGCCCCACTACCAACACGCCAATGATCAAAAACGTGTAACCAATTCACACCTTTCAATTTCAACACACATACCTCACCTCACCTCACCCCACAGACATGTAACAGGACAAAACAAACTGCAGCAAAAAAATACTCCTTCTCTAATAGCTAATCCAACGATATCTCCACAGTCAGAGACACAGATAACGCAAAATACAAAATCAAAAAACAGACCTCCTCTATCCCAACTCCAATTTCATCACACACCAGCCCGTTAGAGCTCATCCAACTCCCCCAAGTAAGTTAAGTGGTCAACACTTCACTCACTACCACTAAACTAACAGTAGTTCCACACAAGTCCTCAATCATCATCTATCTTACATATGACAGATGAGAAACCCATACCAAACAATCACATTTCTGCTCAACAGACTCTGCATTTTGTCAGCGTCTACACCGAGCAGGATAATGTCGTGTGTAATATAAATCCACCAAATGACCTCTAGGGAGTCGATCAATCCCTGTGAAGTTGTGGCCAATTCGGATGACTAACTCTCCGTAAGCCGACACACAGCTGCATCGGTCCCAGTATAGACTTGTGATTAGCGCCACATACTTGGTCGCTCACAGTCAGACACTGGCACAACGTCCCATGGTCGACAGAGTTAAATACCAACTTCAGGTCAAGAAAAATAGCAAATAGTGGGCGCCGGTAGGCTTGCTTGTGCTTCAGAACCTGTCGTAAAGTAAAATATGATAGATGCACTCTCGTACAGGTCTGAAAACTGCCTGGCTTTCTCTATTTTGCTGTTCTCGAGCTCCAGTTAGGCGTCGGATAACCATTGACCCAAGGATCTTGGACACAATATTAGTCAGTTAGTTCCCTACGGTAGTCACAAGAAGACGTCTCTCTCTTCTCGTAGACTGGGATGATCAGTGAAGTAGACCTCTGATTCCTATGCACTATCTAGTTCCTCTATTACCCCTATCAAAAATTTCTCATCTTCATTCTTGAAAAATCAGGGTAGCAAACCACCAGGTTCTCTGCTGCTCTGCATGGTTCAGGTTCGAAAAAGCTTTCTCAACTTCAGTAAACTGGAGGACAGACATCTGCTTACCATTCATGTTTAGGTCGGAAGTTGGGCAACTGAAGCGCTGCTGACAGCCAGTTGAACTGTGCTGCTAAGTGCTCTGCCTAATCTTTTAACCGCCTGTTCTGGGAGGTTATTAGCACACTATCCTTCTAGGTGACGGTTTCACTAACCATCGTTTTCTTCCTGTTAGTATCTTTTATAAGCATAAGTAGTTGCTGCGTTTTTTGTGACGCTGATGCCTTCCTCTACCCGTCTCACCACATACCACTGCTCGCTATCATTCCAAAGACTCTCAGTCGATTTACGTTTGAGTTGCTTTTGTGGTCAGAACTAAGTGAAATCAATCTTCTTGCATCAGTCAGTTCGAACGACGACATTGTGGAAATCCAATGAGGTCTGCTAACCTGCGAGTGTAGGTTACCAACTTTTTTCACCGCTGTTCCTACAGCAGACTTATAATCACGCCAGGTTTCCTCAAGATGAACATTACTGTCACGTTCAGATGTATGCTTGGCTATTTCTGATCTAAATACTTACTTGGTGACCTCATCTTCCAATCGACCATAGACAAGCTTTGCTTTCACCTGTTTCCTGTGAACAGTAAGGTGCAGACACACACCAGCCCATACTAGCTCGTGATCGGAGTCCGCACCGGTATTCCTAAAAGGGAGGAAATCCTCCACCGACCACCCTCTACGACGATGACATAGCAATACGACCCATCAGTGTCCATCGTTCGTTTGACGTCGGCAGACGCCATTTAAGACAGTGTCTAAACTAATGTTTGAAGTTAGTGCTGGCCAGAAACAAGTGGTTGTCCGAACAAAATTGCTAGAGGTGATCACCATTGTCGTTTGTTGGTATGGGATTCCATAGATACCTCAAAGATGCTTTTCCAATTGGCTCAGCTTCCCTACATGAGCTTTGAAGTCTCCTGTTATTCACTACATCTGAACGTGTTGCTTTCTATAACAAAGTTGACAGCTTCTTTTAGAATTCATCTTTTGCATCATCCGAACTGCATAAAGTGGATGCAAAGGCGGAGATTAAGAATAGGCGACCGTAAATCTTATGACCTTTACTAGTTCTTACAGATCCATTCAAACAAACAGCACACAGACGGCTGTTGACTAGCATCCAGTCGCAGAGTGTGTTTTCTGGTTTATAACTTAATGCTACGCTTAGACCAGGGAGTCCACGAAAGCTAGCCATTGATTCTCTGGGTACCCGCATGGTGAATTTTGAAGATTCACTACTTTCCAGGTGAAGTCAAGTTAATAACCACACTCAGGTCCTGTATACGTGTTTCAGAGACATGGCATACATCCATGGCTGGAGATTCCAGAGTTCTGGCTGGCAATACATGTTGTCCCACTTGGCATAGAGTTTGGACGTCGAAGGCCATTACATGAAATCGATGGCTGGGTTTTAGTAGGCTAGGAATGAGATTTCGATGGCTTTGATAGTTAGTTGTCAGTGGTCACAGAGTGAGAGGTTGTAAGACACTTCATATAAGTATCAGGACGTGAAAGTAAGGGAGGAGACAGAGTTGAGGAGAACAGGTTATGTTTGATTCCGTCTTGTGTACAATTGGAAGTGTGCGAGCGATTGACACTTTCCGGTTGCTTGTACCATGGAAGGTTATTTCCTCCCAAGGTACCTGGAAGAGAAAAAGATTTATGTGGCTGCAGAGCCCATAAGACATTTGTTTGAGATGTAGTTGTTCAGACGCGAAACAGAAAAAACCCATACCCACGGCACCGGAAGACCGTGAGGCATGGAGAAGTGTACTATCTTTTGACCCAAACCTTTGTAACCCCTACTCCTCATCGGCAAGGCAGCATCAGCATGGCACTGCAGTTCACAAGCCATTATCGCTATAAAAATGTTGCGTCTTGGCTGGAATATCACTTTTTTTCTACTTCATTACTGATTCTGAACAACTAAACCGCTGTAAATTTAATCAAATGACAAATAGTTATAAACGCTTTCTCAATTTTTAAGTGGCCCACAGTGTGTGGCGATAGAAGGTAGATTCTAATAATTCTATGTATGCAAAAAAGTATTTCAAGTCTGAAAAACAAAACATCTGCTTTACTACGCTCTTAGAAATCTGAAAGGTACATATTTATAACACTTTTGATGATCAAGACGAGAATCGTCTGTGGATATGCAAGCCTTTCAATTACCAAGTACAATTCTAAACTCTGATATGCAAATATTAGGAGCTTAATTTTTTTTAAAGCCATAACTGAAGCGTTTGTACAAGGGTTTCATTTGGAAACATTCAGTTCTGTATAGCAGTAGAGAGAAATTCTAAGCCCCAACAGGATTTCATCTTTACATAAATGACAAACAAATGTGAAATAAAAAAGGAACGTCCAGAAATTAATTGCTCCAGGCTCCGTATGTTACACTGTGGTTTTCTACATAGTATATAAGAATATTACTGAAAGAAAGTAGTGACTGCACTAAAATAAACCTACCCAGAGAAATCCCATGAAGAAGCAGACAGATAGAATCTGTTGGTGTTTCAACTCGACGCAACGTCATCAGCTCGTTGACACGCGGTTGTTTAGTTGTCGAAACTTCCATAACTAAAACATGACCTACAAGGAAACCAAAAGTGGGCAAAAAAACAAATCAAAGTAACTGTTTGGAGTGCAAACATTTGTGGGTAAACTTTCTAAAAATCCTGCAACATGTAACGCTAATGAAACTGTCGATAATATTTATGAGAAGTTAAGACATAGCTTACAACGACAAAATAAAAATTACAATAAAGTTTATGCCTAACCAATGGTCCAACTGAATTCTGAGAACAACCTGGAGGTGACGGTATCTTTATTTGGGTTTGATTCATCAAAAGGTAAAACGTCTACAGATGAATAGCATGTGATCATTAGTGTGTAACCCTGCATACAATGGTACAATGCATTTGTTACACATCAGAAAAAAGACAGAAGAATCGTAAAAGGAGAAAACACTATTAACAAGAATAGTAAAACCCTGGAACATTTTAAGATATGGACGAAAATGTTCAAAATGAATAGATTGCTTTTACTCATATTATCGTGAAGAATAACTACAAATCAGCACCTCACATCACCTAGTCTCAATTCATCAATCTCTGTTGTCATGCTGGTTTCGAGCCAGAAACCTAAAACCTCATATGACTTAGACTAAGCTTAAACCACTTCTTAGAAGTCAGTTAATACAATGCGTATGATTAAGGAGTTAACCGAAGAGATTCTGAAAGGTTTTAATCATTTGCAGATAGCAAAATGTTCAACTCTACATATGTTAATACCAGTAAAGAATGCATTTTGAAATATAAAAAAACATCCAAATTTAGAGAGAGGAAAATTTAAGAAATACACCAGAATTAGTCAAACATCCTCTATTTTCATTATTTAATTCTGAATTATGTTAGCATGAGTACCATCAGTTTTACAGTATCTTAGAGTTGTCAATAAAATGGAGCCAAGAGCTTCTATGCAACATCACTTGACGATTAAAACAAAAATAAAACACAATGTTACTAAATTCGGTATGTGTTTTATGCACTACACAATGAGCCCCAGTTATTGTGTGAGGGCTTATGATAGTATTCAGTTGTACAAACTGAAAAAGATGGACCGAGATTTGAAGGTGACTTTCATATAGAACATAAGCTCATGAAATATGGTAAGCGATCAGCTCAAGGTATACAGTTCAATCTGATAGTAATGAATATAATCACATCACTTTTCACAATACTCAACATGTATTCCAAACATTGAGTTATCCATGAGGTTTCAAAGAGTATAAAGTTGCTGACATAATCAATGAATGTACTTGTTTGAAAGTGAACTTGTAAAAACATTCATTCAAGAATAAGGTACTTTAGGACATAGAGATAAGACGTCTTGAGGAGCGTGTGAAACTACCTATCATAGATTCAGTGCCAAATAACGTGATTCATACTTTCTGCTCAATATGTTAGATCCTTTTAAACTTAGTTGTCATAAATGTTGGCATTCTTCGAGGAGATATATTTACATTTTAGGCGGAGATTTATATTCCATTGAAATTCAAAATAACTTAGGACAACAGTAGAGTACGTTAACACTGAATTATTTCGATTATCGATCTATACCCACTAAAAAACTAGGATCTCTACATGAAAGTCAGTGTATCTTAGTCAAATTGTTTTAAAAATCACCATAAGTGATATGCAAAATATATTAAGTAAAAATGCATTACCATGATTAGGTGGAGGGATAGGTTCACAGCTTAACAGATTAAAAGAGGCACCAACATTGACAGGTACACTAATATGACCATCAATTTCTACGACAGTTCTCAAAATTTCTAATTCACCAGGCTTCAAACTATCCGGTACTGTGAACTCAACACGATAAACTGTTGCCTGCTTAAGCATACCCAACTTTACTTCAAACACCGGCATATTTTTAAGGTGTGAAGGTAAAGTTGGTATATCATCTGTGTTTCCATCCAATAAACGAACTTCTATATGATGTCCAGAATCATCGTCTTCATAGATACCTTCATCTTCTGCTGACATACGAGACTGATGAATCCCATCTAAGTGACGTTCTTCAGCAACACCACTAACCACGGGTAGGTCAGAAAAGCTCACTTTCCTGCCAACATGTGGAGGATGACTGGATGGGTAGGGATTTGACGCTTTATTCGATAAATTATTTGTTGCATGATCTTCGTTAGCCATTTCACTACCAAAATGCACAGCTCGATGCCCTGGTTCTAAATCAACTTCACCAGGTGATTTATGACTAATCGACTTGACAGGTAGCTGAAAACGTAAATATGTGTAAGTTATTAGTCACCAACATATCAACAAGCTAAAATGTTCAAAATTATCGAAAAAGATTTGAGAAAAACAGTTATCTAAGTTTGTTTAGTTTTCAAACAAATCTTTCGAGGTGGAAGAACATCCGTTTTCGCGGGTCTTTGAACAAAACCCACAGTAATCTTACCTCGTGACCTAAAATTTGACCAGCATATCATAAATTTATGATTAATCTTCACCTATAGAGGAAATTATTCGTCAAACTTAAGCTAAAAAATAACACATAAGATAGCACCCACCGGCTAGTTATAGGATAATAACTAATGAGATATTTTCTTTGGTTGGAACCGAAATCTACCAATGGGATGGTAGTGTACGGCTAGTAATCAAAGTGGTTCAATATCACGCTGCACGGCTCGGAACGTGGAGTCATTTTTAATATGACTAGAGATGTATCAGTTCCAACAAGTACTTTGATTCACAAATGTTTCTATCAAATAATGAAGTCGAAACAGTCTGATGGACTGCGCTAACAGACTATTATGGAAGCATCAGACTGAGAACCACAACTAGAGTATATACTATTAACGTTTTAGCAGTATAGAAGGAAAATAGAAATAACTAGAGAAGCATGCAAGTCTAATTGGTCGGTCTGTGGAGTCATCATTCTAATGCTACACAAACTTTAAGACACGAATGTCAAAAAAGAATCATGAATTATCGAACACTGAACAGGTCCATGATCAATTATTTACAGTGTATACGTGTGTGTGTTTATTAGAAGTTCTCACTAAGTGCACTTCTCAACATGACGTTAGATACCTGATTGTAAAATCATAGGTCATTTACACGAAAGAAAATTAATATCTACTGGTAGTTTATGTTAACTATTCACTCAAAACCCTCAAAAGCTTTACCTGAACAATTTTATCTACAATTATATATATATATATATATATATATATATATATATATATATATATATATAAACCAAATTGTAACAGACAAGTAAGAAGCTGAACGCAGTAATAGCCGAAATGCTTTTTATTCAACAATGTAAATGGGAAAATACATGACAGAAACACGTTGAGAATTCTGAAAACAAGAAAAAGGTATAGCTTGAAAGGAAACAAAAGTGTGAACGCCTCTCTGCTGAAAGCTTACAACGCAACCTGCACAACTCAAAAAAGTCGCATAACTAAATGGTTTCCTGTCTTATGCATAAACAAATTTATGGTCGATAAATCACAATGTTATTGTGATAGCCACAGAGGAATCAGCCTGACAAACACAGTAACTGAAATCCTACGTCCTACAATTCTTCGAAGCCTGAGTGGAGATCGGGAAAAGCAAGCTCGAGAAAACCAGGTAGACAGGCAGGCAGACTTTAGACCCCGCCGTGGGTGTATCAACCGAATATTCACACTGAACCAGGTTCTGGAACACAGGCACGCTTACCGACGCTCGACAAGGCGGCATTCGACTCCGTCGATCGGGACGTCTTATGGAAATGTCTCTCACTGAAAGGCGTGCCAAGTAAGTACATCACCTTATTGAAGGCTCGACTCGGCTCTCTACTCCAACACTTGAGGGCATTTTACACCCTATGGTGAGTTGTTACGTCAAATTTTGTCCATTAGGGATACCCACACTTCTCCATTCTGTTCACTTTTGTCATAGACATTCTTATCGAGGTCTCCCTCTCGTCACCTGACTACATAGAGGTGGACCTAATCACAGGAGAATTTTCGTTACACCTAGAATACACAGATGACATAGTTCTGTTAGGTGAAGACGATAACAAGATACAAAGTCTTCTGGACACATTGAATGCCAACTCGAAGATGTTTGAAATGCTTTCCTCACCACACAAATGCAAATTGTTGCTCCAGGATTCGTCTTCAACAGTGCCCCACCACGGCTAACAATAGACAGTGGTTCGGTGTGTCGACCACTTCACTTACCTACGAAGTGGGATCAGCACTGGTGGCCGATGGCTCAGTCGCCGATGAAATCTCTGCACGAATACATAAGGCTCGGCTGGCTCTTGTCAACATACGCCACTTGTGGCGTCGGCGCGATACCTGATCGTCTATTAAGGATCGCTACACCGAATCTCACCATTTTCTCATTCTTCCCTTCTCTCGCTTAGTACTTTATATTTCTTGTGGCTGGATTTTCTTTTCTTTATCTTCCACTTCACTGCCTTTTTACTTGATGCGCTGATACGAGCTGTGGCAACTCGGACCGTTAGGCAGTAATGCATGGTCTTATATTGAAGTGGATGGATGGATGGTTTTTTTTAAAAAAAAACACACAAATTACACCTCTAATAATTTGTGAAGAACATGTATCTTTTACACTATATAAAAATGATAAAGTTACAGAATGACGCAATTCATATTATACTCATCGAGGATAGAGAATAAGTTTACACTAACGGATTCACTTCAGTAAAAGGAACTTCTTAAACTGCTCAAATATCATTTGGATAAAGTAGGATATCGTAAATTGACTAGGTTTCGTGAGTTATAAACGAATCTCACAATATAGCGCAGAAAAAGGAGGTTTTGTAACTACCCGACTACAATAGAAAACATATTTCCTACGGTTCAGGCAACAGAAAATAAACATCAGCATTTTTTATCTCCGTCCCCTAGATTGAAGCTTGGACAGACAGAAGTCTCAGTATGATCAGAAGCATGATATTTAGTGACTGTTAAAAGGGGAAACAATGTTATGTAGTCCATGAGATAGAGGGAACTGATAATTCGGGACTTCAGTTGAAACAAGTCAGAATTGACTCCATTCAGACAACCACACTCACTCACTATACGACTTCCTTCGAGTCATTGAGCGCTTATCTATTCTAGACCAACTTATCGTGCGATTTCTTTGCCCACTATTCTTTCCCTCTACGCTATCAACTAGTTGTAAGCAAATACACAATATTTCCAGTCGATTTGTAGTAGATTACTCAATTCGTATAATATACACAAGCAGAATAAATTTATATGACATACCACTTCCCCGTTGCTATACAGGGCCGAATCACTCGACCTCTGCTAGCAAATGGGCTCCCATATGGATGCCTCGATACAGCTGAACATTCACGATGCTGCATTGGTCTTGGTGATTAGCAAAGGAATCCAGGACTCGCGTCTCATCCAATTCAGGACTCGTCAGATGGATGTACCTGCATCCCAGTCACTGATGTTGTCCCCACTGGGACTCGATCCCAGTAACCTTCGCTCCAAACCCCAGAGCGTTATCCATTAAGCCACTCAGATACAATAGCCACCTCTTGTCAAACAGGTTTCAGTTGGTGTTATGATGCTTGTAATTTCTCGTTGCTATACGGTGCCAAATTGTTCGACCTCAGTTGGCAAATGGGCTTCTATGCAGTTCAGCCCCGTGTAGCAACAGGAAATTACAAGTATCATAACAAGAGGTGGCTATCGTACCTTAGTGGATAACGCTCTGGCGTTTGGAGCGAAGGGTGACTGGATTCGAGTCTCAGTGGGAACAACATTACTCACTGAGGTCCAGGTACATCCAGCTGACAAGTCCTACATAAAACAAAACGCGCGTCCCGAATTCCTCTGCCAGTTACCAAGATCAATATATGACGTGCCAATTAACCTAAATAAAATAACATGTACATCGCACAGAGACCATCGGCATAAATTTATTCCGCACAATGAGCATTTGAAAAGAGTACAATTAAATATTATCTAAATTAAAATTACTTAAAGAAAGGAGATATATAAAAGCAAATAGGTAGAAAAAGTGATTCATCAATGGGGGAGACTAGATGTAGCAAAAAAGGAGATCATAATAAGTACTATAAAGACCACTGATAAATAATTTTTACTAGAAAAAGAAAAGAAAAATCAAAGGCAAAAACCATAATGACTCACCAAGGAAAATCATCACGCAACTATTTATTACATATATAAACTAAATACAGTAAAAGGAAAAGCTTATCGGTATTGTATCAAGGGTATGATGTTAAGCGTCAAACTAATGGTTACTAGCAGTGGATAACTCCATTACGATATCAGATGGAGAGAGATCACTGGACACTTACTTAGCTTCATCAATCTATTCCTACATAATTGTGAATGCCAATCATTACTACCACAAACATTCATAAAAGCAAGAGGTGGAAAACGGAATAGAATGGATAGCAAACAACTGCTACAAGGCGTAAATGGTAGGAAGTTATTGAATAACGAATACTATAAGGTGAAAAGAGAAAGTAATCACAGGGGAAAAAAATGAAGCAATATTAATTAAGTGATAACAGTTGGGGCTGTTCTGCCAGTAACTTCAGTTACTCCGCATAACTTTAACGCCAATTCAATATGCGGTTTTAGATATTCCTAAGGGATAAATAAAGAAGAAAAGAAAAACAGTAAAATCAAGTATGCACGATATTGGTACGACGATATATTGTGTGAAATATCATACAGTTCATCAGTATAGACTTCTTACGGAAGTATTATTAAAGTGCTATAATGTCTACAACTCCTAGTTTACTTTAACTTTACGTAAAGTAGGTTGAGTAAACAAACCGAAAACAAAACGTGCATCAAATCACGAACTGGAATATTAGTGGTGCAAATCAAATGGATTAACAACAGTACCCCAAAGTGTGTGTCGAACTAAGCGAACAGGAATCGGATGGAACAGGTAAAACATTTGTGAATTTGGACGCTAATCAAACAGTTACACCTACAATAACTATCAGGTCTTCCATCTATGTTAACAGTCGAATACAGCTGATGTTAGTAGAGATATTTTGAACAAACTAAACTACTAAGCGATGGTATTCTTTTGGAAAATAGACCTTTTCCCAAAAGAAGAAGAAATAAAATCATTTTTTTTCCGCCACTCTAGGCAGCTTTTAAACCTTGTTGCGTAGAGATGACTTTGAAGGCCACCATTTAAACTATAGCGCTGACTTTTATTTCTGCCACTTATTGTCGTCACTAGTAAGTTAATTGCATAAAATCAAACAATAGTATTTGATATACACATATGCATGCCTACTCACAGTTTGCTTTGTCGCACATTATTACCCGATCTGGGTTCAGGTTAGAAAAAGGCTACAGACAGTGGACTAAAATATGGCATCAGGTTAATAGGTTTTCGACTATTGGTTTGAGGCGAGTGGGAAAGTGTTAAATTCACATGTGACACCAGATAATGGTTGGTTAGAGACTCTGAGTGGTATGGTTCAGAATCTGTCAGTGGCGGAAATATATCCATACCTTATCTTCATCGTATTCATCACGCCAAATTATTTTATTGCCTCACACTTCCTTCCTCTCTTTTAATTACTTTTTACCACTTTTTAATGCTTTCTTCTCTATTTCTTTGTCTTTAGTCTTAGTACCTTCTATCTTGATGTGCCGATATGAGATGTGGAGACTTAGACAGCAACGCTAGTACCCATGTCTGTATGGACTGACTGACAAACAATAGTATCAAACAGGAAAATGACTAAGGTAGTTAGACCAAAGTAGTGTGATTAAATTTTGATCATGCGATAGAAAGTAGCAATAAAATCGTCAGAATCCATTTGAAAGACGCATCTCACCACCGGTCGATTTTCTTTCTTTCATCACATAGTCACTCAGCAATAAAATGGAACTTGGCAATACGGCATACAGTCCCAACTTGTTACACTTTACACTAGAACATCCGCATACAATGCATACGGATGAAAAATCGAGAGACAAGGAATGAAACAACAGAAAAACTCAGTATGACGATTAAGATGAGGTATGTGGATGCTTCTGTAATACTGAGATTCTGAGCCATTTTACCTAGAGTATCCAACCACAATTATCGATTGTTACGCAGACATCAAACATGAAGTCTCCACTTACATATACGGTTTAGATAAAAGGCATCATGAACTGATGCCATTTTTAAGTTTTGCTGCATTTAACTCTTTACTAACCTAAACCCACTTCAGTTAACATTGTACGACTAGGGTAGGTGGTGACTGACTAGGTACGAGTAACACATATCCCAACCACGTGAGTTGATGAAAGCTAACTGCCTAAACTTACCTCTTTTGTCCCCCTTTTCGTCGCTACGCTACGGTTTACTCCGATGTGCTGTTTGCCGAAATAGCACCAGGTTGAAAAAAAGCTACAGGTGATTAGAATAATATGAGGCAGCAGTTCATGAAGTCCCAAGTTGCCAGCCTGGGACATGAAGGGAAATGATAACTATTTCGTTAGATTCTACGGGACAAACAAAAAACTGCAGAAATGTATCCACGTTTTATTTTTATCCTAACCGTCACATAACATTTTATTATTTGCTTTAATCTTCTTTCCTATAGTTTTCTATGACTTCAGATTATATCAAATGTATTTCCTTGACTTTCACTCCACTTCGTATCTTGATGCGAAATATTGATAGCCTGGACCGGCAGCAGTAATTCCAGGTTGATACTGACTGACTGGAGTGACTCAAATGCCTGATTATTACCTGCCATTAGGCGAGCACTTGTTCGTTAACTACTTACAACATATACAGTAACATAGTTTCTGAATTTCGAATTTGTCCACTAGTTTATCTCAATCATATCAATTAGTAGATTCCATCAGATGCAACCACAAGATATACAAGTAGTGCCTATGTTTCAAAGCGTAAGTGAAAAATAAGGCAAATGCACATTGCTTACACTTTAAAAAATAGTCAACAAAATTTAAAGTATAGACCAAGACATTCTAACTCAATAAATATACACATGTAAAACAAGAACTTAAACAAAACGAACCTGTGAAGAAAGTGTGTGCTTGTTAAAATCTGCTTCGTATGTGTCAATATATATTCGAAGTGTTGCACCGCTACTTCCTGTGCCACTTAAACGGTATACGAATCGCGTTCCATCTTTAAACATCAAACGGAAACCCTTTTTAAACAGAAAAAAAGTTGTGCGAAATGTAGAAGGTAGGTAGTGTAAATGAAGGCAACAAAATCAATCCATCAAAGTTTATTCACTGAGTAAAAGCACGAAACAAACAAATGTCACAAAAGATCACGTATGCGAAAGAAGAACAATTACCACAGACATGTATGAAATGTAATCACTCATATCGAATTCGCAAATGAAACTCATCTTCAAATATCAAGAGGACCCCAGGGAAATCGTTACACAACCCAGACAAAGAACTAAACTCGATTACTGAACCTAAGGTATAATGTTCGAAAGACTAAAAAATGGGTAAGTTGTGAATTCATAGCCTAGAAGTATATTTTATAAGTTGAGTAGAAAAAGGTTTTACAAAATTTAGGTGGCAAAGTATATATCACAAAAATCTTGTCCTGTCAGGCAAACATTATTGTATTTAACAGTGTTGACAAAGAATTAACTCTTAGCCTAAAGTAAATTATGATATTTTAACACCATATTACAGAAAATGAAGATAACAGTGTATTTTCTTTTAGTTGAAAACGTAGTTTCTTGTCTTCATTATACCATATAAATCATTCTAGCTTAGAAATTTAATGATTAAATCAAATGAAAGGGAAAGAATAAAGTCATATATAAATATTATTACCTCAGTCTGCCTCTGAATTTTCATATTTGTTTATAGAAGTAATTTTGCACAAATATGAGCATTTTCAATTTCATGAAAGTAAAAGTGGCCATCGAATGTTACAACTTATAACGGTTCACGCTAATTTTTATCCAACTAATTAGGTAAGTTGGTGAAAACAGAAATTGACATAAACGCTGATATGACAATATTGTATGGATTAGCAACACAATATTATCGAAAACGCTGTCTATCGAAGCAGGCATAGTAAACCATATCATTTACTGAAAAATGTCTATCATCCTTTATTTTTTTCCCGCGCTTATTAAAGAGAAGTTAAAATTTAGGACAAAGTGTGAACACGTGAAAACGAATTATTTATCATTTATTGCTACTGTATGGCTGTGAAAGATGGCCATTCAAGGTAGAAGACCTGAGGAGGCTTCGGGTGTTTGACCAGCATTGTCTTCGTAGTATACGCTGTATTCCGTGGTGTCACCACGTGAGTAACGCACAAGTCAGGAGTAGAGTTTTAGGGAGAAGAGGTAAGTCAGTTGACACGGTTATGAACCTTCATCGACTGAGATGGTCGAGACATGTGTTACGTACACCTAGTCGCCGTCTGCCTCGTCACACAATGTTGACCGAAGTAGGTTCAGGCTGGAAAAACGTCCGAGGCGGCCAGACTAAAACATGACATCAATGTATGATTTGAGCCATGTGAAGCAGCACATACTAGTCGTTTGGGGTCTGCGGGGCAAGAGAAACCGGTGGTTGGAGATTGTAGGTGATATGGCTGTGAACCGATGTATCCTCATCTTAACGACGCTATACCGAATCTCACCACTTTCGCATTCTTCGTTTCTCTTTTTTCCTTCTTTATATTTCTTTTGATTGCATTCTCTTATCTGCATCTTGCGCTTCACCGCCTTTTTACTTGATGTACTGATATGAAGTGTTGCAACTCGGACCGTTAGGCAGTAATGCCTGGTCCTGGATGGATGGATGGGCTACTTTTGAGCAAATTTCCAATGCTAATACAATGCATAGTTATATAGAGTTGGTATGATACTAAGATTCAAAGACAATTTTCCTTTAAAATCTATGCGAACCGAACAGAAATAGTGAAGGAGTGAACAACTACTATGACTTAAATCAGAGTCAAAAGAAGTAAGAACTCTAAGAAGGAACTGAAAGCTTAGAGCTAAGGAATCTTATATAAAGGTGATTTCCAACTGAATGAATGAATATACGCAGAACCTTTAGCAACAGCTCATCAAGTAACAATCCACTACTGCAGAGAAATAAAATCAATAAACGAAACTATCAACTATTGTAGTAAGACAAAGAATGAATACACTTGAACCGTACCACATAAGGAAGTTAACCAGAACAATGGATTCATTACTTTCGTACAGTGGAGGCGTCAGCTATACAAAGACTCAGGTATGTGTGTGGTCATAATCCTTTTCTTTCTTCACTGTCACCATATTCATCTTACTCTCACTGATTGATTATTGCTTTTACTAACAGATTTCCTTTCCTGAGTTCAGATGCATTACCGCGAACCTACCATTTACGACAACTTGAATTATTTTATTTTTCACTGAATTGTCTGGAAATCTTGAAAGTTTTCTTTCATCTTTCACTTCTTTCTGATTCTGTCTTTCCAGGACATTCCTGTCTGATAACCTAATGTTGACTCAATAGCTAAAAACACACTTATTTGTTTACTTACAGATATAACTGGATAGCTGTTGACGGTGATCCACTGAATAGACGATTAAATTCACTGAGTTAGGTTCGCTAATATCTGATATTTTAAATACTTCCATTAGCAGACCAATACAACTTACCAACAACTCGGCATAATGATATCACATGTTCGTTCTGAGACTCATGCTATTCATTTTCCTAAATGAACCAAAGCTGGCAAAATCAGACGGTATCTTGAAGTCAATAAAACAGCTCACAGTTGTTTCCGTTAACCTACCCAAATAATCTCATAAATTACCTGACACTAACACAACAAACACAACAAAATGGTCTTTGCACACACAATGCGGAGGTTAAATATGTTTATAGCTAGCGCCTCAACAATGGTCTTTATCATATTAAAATGGTGTCAACATAGTCATTCCACCCAATTCATGTTATACATCCTTGTTGCTTGATTTTTAAAACTGTCCAAACATAACACCTTGTAGATAACACAATGGAAATAACTCTCACAAATAAAACAGAAAAGATACAAAACTCAAATATTTACTTGATTTGCAGTATAACTTCCGTCTACTGGATCACAATATGAAAAATTATCACAGAAATCACCAACAAATTCATGACCACTCATTGTCTTATACACTTGACCTGCTATTCCATTGTCAACAATAACCTTCTTCAATCGACTCATAATTTCCTCACCTTGACTTGATTCACAATTTTCGTAATCATATCTGCGACAACAACAGAAAAAGATGAACTAATGAAATGCCAGGTAGAAGACAACAGCCTCTAATCTTCATATGCTCAACCTCTGATCTAATTACCTCAATTCTAATCACACTCACAGTAGTTCTTGGCTAACATAAATCTTATGGTTTCTTTCCACACCTTTATCAATATCTTCAATACATTGGTCTCCACCTTAATATAGGTGTAAAACTTGGACACTGTCATAGAACAATGTAATTACACACTAGATTTGTTTATTTGACTTATAACACACAGTGTGCTACAGTATTATTTCCTTCATGACATTTCCAGCATAAATTATCATTGCTCATCATCATATTAATATAATAATACTACTTTCGACATCTGATTTTTATAGTCCTGTCATCTCATATTATTATTTATCTTTATTGGTAGTATAGGTGTTGCGTCACATTTCCATTTCATATGTTGGGTGTTGATTCGATGAATAGAGATTCAGTAATCCATCTCTCTCTCCCTCTCTCCACCTAATTACATTGGACTTAAGTACAGTGGTTTTAACCCACCCACTAACCCATCCTGTTGTGTGTTTGTGTGTTAATGCATGCCTAGCAATAGCCGAGTTACTCTCCACATTATTGGTCTTATTGTGGTCTGTCATTCTATATTCAGCTAAATTCCTATGTTCAGTTATTCTAACTGACCCCGACTGGCTAGTTTGACCTATGTACTTGACCTCGTAGTCCCTACACGAAATTTAATAGGTTAGATTATTTTGTTCAATTGTTTCTATCGAATCCTTAAGTCGACAAAGCTTATCTCTGAGTGAGTTTTTAGGTTTAAATGTCACCTTAATTCCAGCTTTGTTAAGAATTCTATGTAAAGTTTGGATGTACCCTCCTTGTAGGATAACACAATGGAGGCTGTGAACTCCTTTTAACTTTTGTTCATCGAATCAACATCCAACACATGTAATAGAAATGACGCAACAGCTAAGCCAAAGATATGGCAAATTTTACTACCAATATAAATAAAAAGTAAGAGGTGAGAGGACTATAAAAATCAGACGTCGAAAGTAGTGTGATTACATTGATGTGATAATGACCAATAATTTATGCTCGAAACGTGATCAAGTAAATAATACTGTATCACTGTGCTATAAATCAAAAAACAAATATAATATGGAATTTCTCTTTCCCAACTTTGGCTCTAAAATATTCGTCTATATATTGGTAAACTTACTATTACTTCTGCATATTTATTCATTCAATTCGTGTGCGTTATATCGATGTTATCTCTAATTCAAGCCTACAATTTTCTACCAAACTGATTCAAGAATGCAAACATTAATGTCAATTGATGTTAAAATTGTTTTAGGTTGTAAGCAGCTGATGAGAAATCCCCAAATAAAATGGACCCATGTTATTCTGCGAAACTGTTCTTCTCGCTCGATTTAAATACGCTTACTATTATTATTTGTCCCTTGGGTTCCTAGTGGAACATAGGGATTCAGTAGCACGTCTCCATTACGCTCTCTTCTCTGCAGTCTTCGAAACCTGGCACCACAACTGCCCACAAGCTTTCACTTCTTCCTCACATGATCTCCTCTATGTCACCCTCACCTCGGACGCCGAACTCGTCGTTTCCCCTTTGCACTGCCACTCGAGGGTCTGACCTGGCGCGTGATGTCCCCAGTCGGCATTCTCAGTGCATACCCAATCCATCTCAACTTCCTTCGGCCTATTTGTTGAGTGATAGGTTCTTGGTTGGTTCATCGCCAGCCAGCCAGCTGGAGTTCCCTGTTGCTTATCCTTATTATTCTGGCCATCTGAGCTCCAGTAACGAGCCAGCGTAGGCAGTTGTTGATGAATGTCTGTAATTCGTTGGAAACCCCTTTCGTAACGTGCCAAGTCTCTCAACCATACAGGAGCACTGACTTGACGTTGGTGTTGAAAATCCGGATCTTATTCACGCTTTATGCTGAGTGCAGAAGATTTCCACACTGGTTTCAGGCTAATGAACGCCTGTCTTGCTTTTCCGATCCTGACTTTGACGTCCTCATCTGTGCCGTCTGTAGTTGAAACAGTGCTGCCTAGATAGGTGAAAGAGGCTACTTTCTTTAAGTTTCTCCCACTGATGCTGATTGGAGCTTGTTGGTGGTGGTAGTGGTGTTAGTTGGGTATCTTCATCACCTCTGTCTTCTCTACGTTCACCTGAAAGAAGTCCCGCCTTCGCTGATCTGCCTCTTCAGTCAATTTGTCAGTTTTCGCCTGTAGATCTTCAAGTTTGTGTGATATCAGACACAAATCATCGGAGAAATTCAAATCTTCCACGTTCTTTACCTCAGCCCAGCGTATCCCCCTCCTCTTGCTCCTCACAGTTTGCTGCATGTTCCAGTCCACTACAATCAGAAATATCACGGGTGATAGTAGACAGCCTTGTCTTACCCCGTTTGTTACTTCAAAGGCATCACTAAGCTTCCCATTGTGAATTACTTGGCATGTGGTGTCTCCATACAGTTCCTGAATGAGGTTGATAAAGCCAAAAGCCTTTTCAAAGTCGATGAAGTTGAGGCAGAGTTGAGCTGACTGTCATTCTATACTCTATTCTTTGATGATGTGTAGTGTAGCGTTGCAATTTGGTCTGCACATGATTTGTACTTCCTGATTCCAGCCAGTCTGTTCCGGTCGTAGTTTTGAATCCAGTGCATCCTTTAGTCTCTCCAAAGTGATGCGGCTCAATATTTTGCTTGCTGTGGGTGGACAGGAGAGTGATTCCGCGCCAGTTCCTACAAAGACTTAAATCGCCCTTCTTCGAGAGTTTGATAAGATAGCCCTTCTTCCAATCAATAGGCAGGTAACTTCTCTTCCTTTCCCACCTTCTGCAATAGTGGTGTGAGCATGTCTGCTGTTGTCTCTGCGTCTGTTCTCAGTGCTTCTGGTGGGATTCCATCTTGTCCCGCTGCTTTCCCACATTTCAGTAGCTTTGTGGAGCTCAGGACTTCCACTTTTATTGGAGGATTTATGTTCACTTGTAGTTCAGCGGCTGCAGGTGGTATTTCTGGACGAAGTGCAGGTGGTGGTGGTGGTCGATTCAAAAGCTTCTTGGAGTGGTCAGCCCATTGTTTCCTTTGTTTCTCTTCTTTCGTAATTAAATTTCCGTCATCATCTTTTATTGGTTTCAGCTGCGTTGATCTCCTCCCAGATAGCAACCTGGTTATTTGATACAATGTTGTCAGGTCTCTGTCTTTCTTACCTGCAGCCTGTTCTACTTCACTTGCCAGTGTGTCGTAAAAGTGTCTTTTGTCTTTTCGTGCACTCTTCGTCACTTCTTTGTCCAGTGTAGTGTTTTATACATTGTACTCAGTTCCTCTTCTCGTCGTTGTGCATCCCTGCACTGAACTGGTTCATCTTCTGCTTCACCATCACCATCTTCCTCTACCTCCTCTATCAGCTTCCATGTGTCCGTCGAGATCCATTCCTTATCTTCTTTCTTCTTCCTTCCTAATATGCTTGGTTAGGCAGGTTTCTTTCCACATAGCTTTCAAAGACTTTCAGTGTTCTTCCACACAGGTTTCTTCAGCGATGTCCCTCGATATCTCCCATTTTGTCTTGATGGCTGACGTGAAGATTTCCTTTGTAGTTTCGTCCTTCAGTCGCTGTTCTGTTCTGGGTGTTGAACTTGGACTGTGGTTATCACCAGCTTCCTTGAAGGCTTTCAACTTGATTTGGAAGGTTCCTTGTACTAGATAGTGGTCTGAACCTACATCTGCTCCTCTTCTTGATCTTGTGTCAAGTAGGCTGCGTCTACATCTCCACTTTTTTCACACTGAGATGAAGTCGATCTGATTTGTAGTATAGTGTGTCCTGGTGTCAAATCCATGTTGCTTTGTGGATATCCTTGTGATTGAACACACTGCCTCGCTTCCCATCACCAAATCGTTGAATGCACAGAATTCTGCAAACAATTCTCCATTCTCGTTCATTTCACCTAGTGCTTCCCGACCCATGGTTAGTTCTCTTCCTGTGTTGTCCCCTCCCAGTTTGGCATTCATGTCACCCATTAGAATTTTGATGTCGCCAACTGGAGTGAGGTCTTTTCCAGTGCTGATTGCAGTTGTCTGTAGAATTCCTTCTTCTTCTCTTCATCTGCATTATTTGTAGCTGCGTAGCATTGTACGATTGTGACTTTCCTTCCTTTTGAGTTGAATCTTGCCGTCATGATCCTGGAGGAGATTGGTTCCCATTGCATGGGAGAGAGCCTTCGATGCTCTTGAGGACATCATGATAGCCACTCCATAACTCAGTGTGCTCGTGGTTGTCGTCTGAGTGACAATATCGAAGTAGATTTTTGATTCTCCAGTTGACAGTTTGGAAAGTCCACTTCCAGTCCATCTGCTTTCGCAAATTCCAAGCACTTCAATGTGATACCTTCTCATCTCTTCGGTAATCTGGGCAGCCTTGCTAGGTTCAAACATTGTGTGGACACTCCATGTCCCCACGTTTACTTTCGCTTTCATCGAGAGAAGAGAAGACACATCGGCCAATTGGCTTCCCGAAGGCTTTCACCAACCGGCGTCATTTCGTCTCACCAAATCCAGCGAGGAATAAGTTTGTTTTTTTGTATATTTTGTTTGTGTTTTGAAGTTTCAGTAGCGGTTGGATTGGTTTTAAGGAGTAGGGTTGCTAGCCCGACGCCCAAACTTCCCTGTTATCCTGGCTTAGGACCGGCTAGTAACCAGTGAACTAGTTAACCAGGCGAGGCAAAGAAAAATTTTCCACCTAATATATTTCATCAAATTCTTCTCTTTCACTTTGTTTTAATCTTTGAAATATGTTTTCTAAGCGTACCATGTACTCTCGTACATTTTTAAAACGCTTTCAAACTGTCGTTTCTTAAGCTAGTAACAAAACAAAGAAAAATGTTACGCCAGATGGAAATGGACTTATAAATGCCCAAAAATACAGCACATTACTATTCTTAGGATACCTATATGGAATTGCAGATTTCTGTACTGGTTGACTGAACTACCACCATCAAAATTACACTAGATTTTGTGCTCATCCACAAGTCCACACAAGACGGTGATGTAACACCAGCTACCCGTTTCATGTTGATGCTTTTAATACTGTTATGATTAACACTCTCCAGACGTAATAATTATTTCTTTTAAAAATATTGTAAAGGGAATGAATTCGTTAAAATATTACATGCTCAGAATTCCATACTGCGTTACACATGCTGTTTGGTATAAAGCGATTATTTTGATTAGGCATCAGTGAAATAGCTGCACAAATGACTTAAACACATTTTATGCTCAAAAACTTCAAGTAAGAACGGTTACACTAAATTTTATTCATCAATCGATACAACCTACTGAGGTTGAGGATATATGCAACTTTCAACTGTTAGGTCATACGATATTTTTTAATGCTTGTCTAGTTTGAGTATCTAATTCGCCTAAACTTAGCCTGTATGTTCAATTACAATGTTGTGACTGGCAAGTTACACCTCACTGATATGTAAATGAACATAAACGAAGTGAATCGGTTGCATAATTAAAACCATCAATCAAAGTAAGCATGAATTTTTGCGCACATGAACTTAGAGACAAAAGATAGATAAGAATGATGAAAAATGAGCATGATGTATGTACAATAAACAATATAAATATGCAGTCAACAGAGCAAAAATAAGTCAAATATTTCTCAGCTAAGGTCAATGAATGCGTGTTTGTGTAATAAGTCATAATTTCATTATTTTCGAATGCATATAACCATAACTAAAAAATATTACTCAGTAGTTAAATAATACGGATGATGCTACAGTTAATGGTTTCGAGAAGACTGTGTATTTTATTTTGAAACCCTAATCATAAAGAAAAACATGTTCAACAAAAATCTTTACTTCATTGTGTAGATCCCATCTTGAAATGTCAATCTTACAAACACTTCCTTCGATTTTCCTACTTACCAAAAACGTAACTGTAACTTGAACGATCAACTTCTCAGGGTTGAAGTAATCCAAATAAAAAATAGCCTTCTGCAGTTTAGATAATATTGACCTCATTAACAACAACGGAATTCAGTAATCCACACCAATTATCGATGGTGAATCAAACACGTTTCACTTCTTGAACTGAATTATTTAGTCTACTCAGTAAATCATAAAGAAGTTCCACACTTAGATTCAACATGATTTTGGTTTCTGTATCCATTTTTATTTCGAAATGACAACTACCGTACAGAAATCAACAGGCTGTGTGACAATAGTTGTTGACTCTCTCGGTTTGCAAGGAGTAGATTTCGGCAGCTGAAGTTACTCGTCTATCAAGAAGTGGATGGTGCACCAAAATGATTGATCCTATTATTACACCTGCGTCCATAACACTCATAGCACAGAAATTGAGAGAATCGAAAGTAATGGGATTTCCCTACGAACGGTTCTAAATATCCAGGGATTTCGTGCAGTCTATGTTATATCAGTCCAAAAATAGAAAACGCAAATATCGGATAATTGTCGTTGGTCTTATTATTCTATCTTAAGTCGTTTTGCTTACACCTTAAATAGTAGCATTATTGCACAGCTCGGTTTAAGAGCTTTCGACTGAGCTCTCATCCGAGTCATATATAATTTAAGTTTCGGAAATAAGTGCATGCTGAGTAAAATCCATTATTGAGTACTATCGCATTTTTTGTGTTTAAAATCCGTTGTTTCATTTTCATAGATTATAGTGTGTCATGGTCAGATAACTTAGCTACATAAACATTTAAAGCAAATCGTCTGATATATGAGGAGAACAAGCGCCAGACTTTATGTTCTCTTGTAAACCACTGGGATGGCCGAACTGCACTACTCATCCTGTGGGTGGATCAAATATACGAGCAAGTCATATTGGAGACCAATAACGTGTAAGGCCAGTAGGATCATGTGCTTAAAACAATTGCAAACGGACAAAGTTATAAAATTATAAGTATGAATTAATTGCTGAGATGGATGCTGAAGACAGACAGCAACCAACCAATTATGCATGTGACACTGACTAGAACTAGGTTAAGTGCGAAGAATGCTTAATAACATGACACACAAACTACGCAGATCAATTCAGAGAACTTCTAATGCTGGTAAAATACAAATAACGTTCTCCATACGTCCATTGCCGACACCGAAACTGAAAGATGAATTGCTTAAACTGGCTACTTCCTGCTGTGTTTATCAGTTCGACTGCTCCTGTGAAGTTCTAGAAGTTTAGTTGTCCGTGCTCGTAAACAACTCCCAGAGTGGTTAAGTAGAGGTGAGACAAAGACCACCATCAGCTTCATATTAGCACACTTAGTTGAATGCTTCAAATTGTTGAAGCAGTAGCAATCCAGGTTCAAACAACTGGAGTTGTGTTCAAAAGAAGTGTGTTACCTCTACAACTACCATCACTCGATACGCGACACATAAATTTATTCAAATCCTACCTCAGGTAATCTAGTTTTCTAATTCCATACTGTAGATATCCCCCTTCACCCTTATAATCTGAAATAATTGTAACAAATTCTCTTAACCTATTTTGATGCCCAACATGAGTAACATTCTATCAAGTTATTATTCCTCAAATTATCTTTTTTAGTTTACTTCATTCAGCTATCATAAACACTGTCTTATCGTTTCATTAAACTATCACCTTAAAGTGTTACATACGCCGTGTAATTGTTTAGATAATCAATTATTTTGATTAGAATCCCAGTAAGAAAAGATTCTATCATTAACGTTCACACATGACTTTTCTAAATTGATTTCCTCGACTGTATAATATTATTAACAAACTGATAAGCGATGTTTCAATATTGTTGACGCATACTTCCTCAGTATGTATATAACTGTAGAACCTAAAGTTGTTGTAAAGAATATTCTTCATTCAATCAAATGGCTTTTGAATTATAGTGAGAATTTTAATGACTTTCCCAAAAATATTTATTCTGTCCTCGTTGCTGTTTACACAAACTATCATCATGTAACAACTGAACAAAATAAACTGTTCAATAACCGTGTTCAGATCGAAGGTTACGTATTGTTCAGTTGCGAAACAGAACGATACAACCTATCCAGGTATTAATTTTTAACAGATATTCACTAATAATACAAATCTTCCAATTTATCACAGTTACCTAGTCAACAGATAAGAATAAGATCAAATTCTTACAATGATCGGTTAAACGCCACATATATGCCAAACAACTTTAATGATTTAGGATAGTTTCTCGATCAATTCTATCAAAGCTGCTGCACTAAGGATCACCGGAACAACAATAAGAACTTATCCTAGGAAATAGTGGTACTATGATATGGTAAAACAAAAGCCACCTACCTGGTGAAAAAGTACCTTCCATATTTCTTCCAATGTTCTCGTACTATAGACTCCACATCAACTGGTAAACCTGATTGATATCGACTAGCCAAAATTGATAACCAGGCTAATAACGCCCACAAACCATCCTTTTCACGAATATGATCAGAACCTGTACCAAAACTTTCTTCACCGCAAACAGAACATAACTTAGCATCCATTAGATTGCCAAAAAACTTCCATCCAGTTGGAACTTCATAACATTTCATTGATCTACTCTCGCATACACTAAAATGTGATATTAAAAGGGATGAAATAAAGCATCATTTCAGATGTGTTACAATGAAGACACTTAAACTTACCGATTCAGTGCTCTACTAGTAGGCATACTACGTGCAAAACCATAAACTCCATTCTCCCGAAAATACTTAATCGCATCAGTGTTATCAGCTATAACAGCAAGTGAATCACAAGGAGAAACGAAAAAACCATAACGACCAATTAACATATTCCGATCACCGTCACCGTCAAAAGCAGCAGCCATCGCAATTGTTGGATCTGAGGTTACCATTTGAACAAGATCCGCAGCATAGGTCAGGTTAGGGTCAGGGTGCCCCCCACCAAAATCTTCCAGTGGAACAGCTTTGATAGCATACTTCGCATCTAACCCAAGCTTATCACACAAGATCTCATGAATATATGGTCCCATAACTGAAACGATTAGAGATAAGAGAAAAATCTGAAGCTAAGTTAAACTGGTAACTTGTAACCATAAGACACTCCTTCCCACTTTAAACACTAACTAAAAGTGGAATTCAGACTTATTTCTCCAAACAATAGGTCCTAAATTCAAACTTCATTTCATTTACCACACATAAGATGGCTAAATGCTATCGTTATACATACACGATGTGTGCGTCTACAGACTATTCTACGAATCTGTCATTATTAGTACAACTACAAAATATCGCACGCGCAGACATAAAAAGTTATAAAAAACAAAAATCGTCACGGTGTAATGTTCTGCAATTTCCGAATAGAAAACAGGGACTGTTTGGTATGGAGTCGACTATACAGTGACAACTCAAAAGATTTTGTTCTTTCTTCACAAAAAGATCAACACGCATGCGCGCATAGATCAGCAATATTATGAAAAAATGCGCAGCAACTAATGTTAGTGTTTCGTATGAACGAATGAGGTGGGAAAATTTAAACCCAAAGAGTTCATAATTGCCCTCCATTCACTAAAAAGTAATACATCATAAAACATATAGTGCTGACCAATATAGTACCACACTACTATTCAACCATAAAACTTGTAACATCTCACAACAGCACACCAAGCAACTACCCAATAAAAAAGAAGATAAAGAAAGAAAGAAAAACCCGTCAAAAGAAGTAGAGGGTAGAGAAAAACCGGAATGAGCAACTGATGAGATTCGGCGTAGCGTTAAGATGAGGATAATGTATGTGTATACATCTGCACCACTGCCTTCGGTTCTGAGCCATATCACCTAGAGTCTCCAACCACTGATTCCTCTTGTCCAGTGGACCCCAAACGACTAGTATGTGCTGCTTCACATGGCTCGAATCATACATTAATGTCATGTTTTAGTCTGGCCGCCTCGGACGTTTTTCCAGCCTGAACCTACTTCGGCCAACATTGTGTGACAAGGCAGACGGCGACTAGGTATACGTAACACATGTCTCAACTATCTCAGTCGATGAAGGTTCACAACTGTGTCAACTGACTTACCTCTTCTCCCTAAAAATCTACTCCTGACTTGTGCGTTACTCACGTGGTGACACCACGGAATACAGCGTATACTACGAAGACAATACTGGTCAAACACCCGAAGCCTTCTCAGGTCTTCTACCTCGAATAGCCACGTTTCACAGCCATACAGAAGAACATAGCAGACTGGTGTGCAGTACACGCCACTCTTTATAGGCGATCGGATATAGCGTCGACGCCACAGGTGGCGTAAGTTGATAAGGGCCAGCCGAGCCTTTTGTATTCGTGCAGAGATTTCATCGGCGACTGAGCCATCGGCCACCAGTGCTGATCCCACTTCGTAGGTAAGTGAAGTGGTCGACACACCGAACCACTACACTGTCTATTGTTAGCCGTGGTGGGGCACTGTTGAAGACGAATCCTGGAGCAACAATTTGCATTTGTGTGGTGAGGAAAGCATTTCAAACATCTTCGAGTTGGCATTCAATGTATCCAGAAGACTTTGTATCTTGTTATCGTCTTCACCCAACAGAACTATGTCATCTGTGTATTCTAGGTGTAACGAAAATCCTTCTGTGATTTGGTCAACTTCTATGTAGTCAGGTGACGAGAGGGAGACCTCGATAAGAATGTCTATGACAAAAGTGAACAGAATGGAGAAGTGTGGGCATCCCTAATGGACAAAATTTGACGTAACAACTCACCATAGGGTGTAAAATGCTCTCAAGTGTTGGAGTAGAGAGCCGAGCCGAGCCTTCAATAAGGTGATGTACTTACTCGGCACGCCTTTCAGTGAGAGACATTCCCATAGGACGTCCCGATCGACGGAGTCGAATGCAGCCTGGTTTTTCCGGCTATACTATTCCCGAACTTCAGTCAGGCATCTAATGAATCTTAGACACTATGTTTGTCAGGCTGATTTTTCTGTGGTTATCACAAAATGACTTCTCGCCTTTCTTGAAGACTGGAATGATCAGGGATTTAGACCAGTCAGAGGGGATTGTATTTGACTCATATACCTCAGTTAAGACTCCAGCTAACTTGACTAATAACACTCTACTACTGTCCTTATTTACCTCTGAAACTAATCTTAAATTTTCCGATAAACAGGCATTTAAAATTAGGAGGATAACATTCTCTTTTACATCAATGCTTTGACATAAAATGGACATCAGAATTTTGTGTGACGGTTTTGAATTCAGTTGCCTCAGAAGATATGCTGCACTCATCGCCATGGAATAGGCAGGATATGCTATTTAATTTCTGACTAAATCAAACTCCTTTCTCATGAAGGATATTGACGACGTGTTCCAGTAGTAAGCAATATGACATCAAAGTGCGATGTGCACTCAACGTTAACAAGAAAAATATATTAATCTTTTGTATCCACTTTTAGCAGAACTGGTTAACTGCAGTGAAAATAGATACTCATAAATCGCATACGCAGCTTTTGCGTGGACAACCCTGCAAACTTTATATTTCTTGTGGCTGAATTTTCTTTTCTTCATCTTCCACTTCACTGCCTTTTTACCTGATGTGCTTATACGAACTGTGGCAACTCGGACCGTTATGCATTAATGCGTGGTCTTATGTTGAAGTGAATGGATGAACACTCTTAAGTACGATTACCAATGCTTCAATTGTATGTGAGAACTTAACTAATTGACAAGTTCAGATGGCAGTGCAACAAACAAGTATTCAAGCAAAGTGACATAAATTGGTCTGCGTAAGGATTTTAGTCCAGGGCATGAATCCCACCCCACTTACTTTGACCTGGATAGCTAGGCTATAAAGCCTTCGCATACCAAGTGTGATTTACATCTTAGTACACAGACATATATAGCGTTGAGTTGCACACATACACATACAGGTTAATTTATGAGGGTTTCATGAAGCGCTTTTACAAAAGTTCGGTTAGTGTAAACTTCAAACTGTTACGTAATATGCAGCGACACCAATAGGTGACAAACATGCTTTAATCAAATGCTGACATGTATACACAACCAGTGGACATTTCATAAAGATGCTATGATCCTATACACAAAAGTTCTATCTCAATGGTATAGGTAGTTAATTATTACTCACTGAGGTATGTGGTTTCAAACAAACTCTAACTTCTTCCACTTGTAGTATGAAATCGCAAGTTACAAATAACTAAATTATAGTAAACGAATATGCACGAAGTCTCTAGGTTTTAACTGTTAATTTAGTGAATCAATTGGGAATTAGCATCTCTGAGTGACAGGTTCTGTTAATAGTCATAGATTCAATAACAAAGATCATCTAGAATCTACAAGTACAGTAAAGATACCTACTATCTTAATACAACTTTCCCGATATAATTTGTTATAATGTAAAGTGAGACCGAGAAACAAAATTTTTACATATGTCGATAATGTGTTTTTGTTTGAATTCAATAACATCTTGTGAATGATTGTTGCAGAATCTTAATCGGAATATGCAAACCTGTTAATAACAAAAGTCTCATTGATTGTTTAGTCACATACATCAGAAAATACTACCGTCCTATACACTACAATAACTAAATAACAAATATCCACAATCACACTTACTTAGGCAGCCCAGATTTTTAAGTGTAAAATACTTTAACAACAATCTTTATCATTACTCGATATGAACCAGTGAAGAATGGGAATTAAAATTACTCTGTTGAGATAGAAAACGATGTTACAACTTATCAACACACTTACATCGATGATCAAGCATACATGAAAAATTTATGAGAAAACAGAATACAATATCTTGATTTACACTCAATTTCTAGTGGACAATTAGATATCCTGTCAGCATAATAAGTGGTAATAATTAAAGTACCCAATTTATCATATAAACATCACTCAAAAATCCTGTTCTCATTTGTATATGATAAGTTAAATTGAGAAAACTGAAGTATGCATTAACAGATTAACAAAGAGACTGACATCGTAAAACTCGTAAATAACAGGTTAGCTTTGAAAAACATTTAATAACGACATAACTAATCCATAAGAAAAAAAATGACAGAAGACACGCAATAACAATTACCTACCTCCATTCAAACCACTGACAAGCAATTTAAATGGTTCACCTCCACCAGAGCCAGTAAGTAAAGCTTTGATAGCATCAAAGTCAAATAATGTCTTCATGTAGTCAGCATAGTCTGAAACACTGCTAATGATTGTTACCTGATAAGATGAAAAAAAATATCAAGAAATAGTCTACTGAGTAATCTACAGCACATTCTTGTAACCAGTAGTTTAGAAACGTTAGCAAGGAACTGATAAGCAAATTGATGTGAACTTTAGTCAGTTGCTTTTTTTTGAAAAAATTAATAAGAACTTTTGATAAAAGTAATGAACTTGAGTACTGTATTATATTATAAGTCTACATTGGATTTTTTTTATTCGATAAAACACATAGGGGATAAAGTACTACTGATAACATTAGGAAAGAATTATGTCGTACTGTCGACGATGTGTAGTCCTAATATACTGAAGCACTTGATGAGGTTTCAGACATTTTGCTTTGAACACATATACCGAGAGTGAGAAGCTGCTGTTAGCATACCTTGGATTATCCGAATTTATTTATCCCTGGATACCAAGTAATCAGTATTCTTCTTCTTCTTTTTCCGTTGGGTTCCTAGTGGAACATGGGGATTCAGTAGCACGTCTCCATTACACTCTTTTCTCTGTAGTCTTTTGGATCTGGAACCACGACTGCCCACAAGCTTTCACTTCTTCCTCACACGATCTCCTCCATGTCAACCTCAGCCGGTACGACCAACTCGTCGTTTCCCATCTGGGCTCCACTCGAGCGACTGGCCTGACGCGTGATGTCCTCAAACGGCATTCTCAGTGTATGCCTAATCTATCTCAACTTCCTTCGGCCTATTTGTTGGGCGATAAGTTTTTGGTTGATTCGTTCCCAGAGTTCCCTATTGCTTATTCTTTCTGACCATCCGATCTTCAGTATCGAGCGTAGGCAGCTGTTGATGAATGTCTGTAGTTTGTTGGAAGTGCTTTTCGTGACGCGCCAAGTTTCTAAACCATCACATAGCAGCACTGACTTGACATTGGTGTTAAAAATTCGGATCTTGTTCTTTGTGCTGAATGCAGTAGACCTCCACACTTATATAAATCCATCAGCAAACACCCGACCAATGAAAGAAACACTTCTTCAGTAATTTTGGTACGAAATTGGTTCATTAATCCATTGCGTAAATGGAATGAATACGTGTGAAAACCAACAAAATTTATGTATCATAGCGCAAAGCCTGATGAGAGCTAACTAACTGAGAACAGTATTGTTAGTTTATATGTCTTCTTCTAATTTTGACAATTTTTAACATTGTTAAATCACATTTAGAAGAACAGACTTAGTCAGCAGGCATACTTAAGATACAGTGGAAAACATACTCATGAAAAAAGATATCATAGAAGAAATATGAATGCAGTACTAAATAGGGTTCGGGTAGGCTGCAATAACAAAACTGTGTTACACATAGAACTGTGAATCTACAATTCAGTTAGTATGTTCACTAGATCACGAGTTCGAAAGCCACTTTACGTATCAGGTATGATTTTTGCTCCCCTACAACATGTAACTGTTTGTGATTCACAGCTAAATCCACAAATATGCACTACATTCACTTCTATCAATTTTGATAATATACGAATACTAATAAACGCCAAATACGTATGGACAACAGATATTTTACATACACATGCAAAAGAAGTCACTGATTTGATATTTGCTTCATTCTTATTATTCTGATCAGAAGTTTACAGTGCAAGTGGATTATCTCAGATTGATTTCATAAATCTAGAAAAATTACAAAAATCCACCAGCTGTGATCTATTCTACCTGGATGCTAAGTTATCGTATGAACAACTGTTAATGAACCAGAACAAAATACGCAGACGAAAAGACCACACAGTTATACAAATGTGAATACCTAAAAGGAAAATAAACAACCCACCTATTAGGTCAGTAATCAGCTTAAAGAGAAAATACATTACAATAAAGTGGAGTTGTGGCTCATTGGTCAAGAAACAACTTCCGATCAATGGGTCTCGGGTCTGAAACCCTATCTACTTTGACCTCGGAAACCAGATACAATCATAAGCTCTGACACAAAAAGTATGGCTCATAGCCTAGTACATAAACATGTAAATGGGTTGAGTTACCTTAGTATGGTGCACGTCTCGCTACCCAAGTTACAACAAGTTTGTGTTTCAGTAAAATAAAAAAAATTACGACAAAAAAAACCTGATGTTAAAGTCCTAAATATATTTGAGTATGATTTACATCACAGACTGATGGGAGCTAGAAACATGCTATAAACAAGAGTGAAATAACTGCCTCCTTCATTTCCAACAAAAGTTCCGGTATTTATCCTTCAATATTCGCAGCCACCATTGTTACTAAACCAGAAAACCAATACTTTGATATCTCGAGCAATAAACCCGCTCAAACCTAATCAACTGCCATAGCATCCCACGTCGATGTAGGCGGTTAATCGGGATCCACAATATCTACTGTCAGCCACCAACATTCAACAAATTCCTAGTTGATTCCCAGCCCGACTAATTATTTATGGAAAAGACAATCCACGTGTACTAACGTCTTTTGGGGTCGAAACACCGAAGACAAGAACAAACGAAAACATATCTAATACATAGGTAGTTCCATGTTTATAATAATACAATTCATTAGCTGATTCACACTCTGTCTTTATAACTCAACAAGCTATAGCATAAAATACATTTTCATTACTCCCTCTACAGACTACGCTCTACACTCTATCCCCTACATCACATTCCATCATACCCCCCTCCCCAGCCCCACTACCAACACGCCAATGATCAAAAACGTGTAACCAATTCACACCTTTCAATTTCAACACACATACCTCACCTCACCTCACCCCACAGACATGTAACAGGACAAAACAAACTGCAGCAAAATAATACTCCTTCTCTAATAGCTAATCCAACGATATCTCCACAGTCAGAGACACAGATAACGCAAAATACAAAATCAAAAAACAGACCTCCTCTATCCCAACTCCAATTTCATCACACACCAGCCCGTTAGAGCTCATCCAACTCCCCCAAGTAAGTTAAGTGGTCAACACTTCACTCACTACCACTAAACTAACAGTAGTTCCAAACAAGTCCTCAATCATCATCTATCTTACATATGACAGATGAGAAACCCATACCAAACAATCACATTTCTGCTCAACAGACTCTGCATTTTGTCAGTGTCTACACCCAGCAGGATAATGTCGTCTGCGTAATACAACTCAACCAGATGACATCTACGGAGTCGAACACTCCCTGTGAAGTCACACTCACCTAAGGTTGTGTCAAATACTGTATGGATAACGAAATTAAAAAGAAACGGCGACAACGGGTATCCGTTCCTGGGGGACACCATTGGTTGTCATAAATTCAGATAACTCTCTGTAAGCCCTTACGAGGTTGAGTTCGAAATGAGAGACTTGATTAGCCTTGATTGGTTAACCACAAAGACCAAGTTATACTTTTGGGTAAATTCATTTTCGCTTGCAACGGACTTTAAAGATCAGTAGCTGAGAACGACAGTGGGAGAATGGAACTTTCAGAAGATGAAAGTAACCACGGATATATGAGCGGAAACATTAGTGCACTTCAGTGACTCACTTATTTTTCAAACATGGAAGAAGATGAAATATTATCAGGTAGGCAGGTTTCTATCATCGGGACAACAGCAAACACTAACTAATATTGATCCTGGTGAGTCGCAGAGGAATTCAGGACTCGTCAGATGGATGTGCCTGCATCCTAGTCACCGATGTTGTCCCCACTGGGACTCGATCCCAGTAGCCTTCGCTCCAAACCCCAGAGCGTTATCCATTAAGCCACTCAGATACAATAGCCACCTCTTGTCAAACAGGTTTCAGTTGTTGTTATGATGCTTGTAATTTCTCGTTGCTATACGGTGCCAAATTGTTCGACCTCAGTTGGCAAATGGGCTTCTATGCAGTTCAGCCCCGTGTAGCAACAGGAAATTACAAGTATCATAACAAGAGGTGGCTATCGTACCTTAGTGAATAACGCTCTGGCGTTTGGAGCGAAGGGTGACTGGATTCGAGTCTCAGTGGGAACAACATTACTCACTGAGGTCCAGGTACATCCAGCTGACAAGTCCTACATAAAACAAAACGCGCGTCCTGAATTGCTTTGCTAGTCACCAACATTAACATAAGATCATGAATATCCGGCAATGTCGAGGCATCTGCATAGGAGCCCATCAGCCAGTAGAGGTCGAGAAATTCGGCCCCGTATAGCAACGGGAAACTATAAGTATCATAACAAACACTAAAAGGCGAACCTTAAAAACAAAACGAACTCAAAAGTTGAATGAAATAATTTCATGATCTTTAATTGTCATAACTGACTGGGAATATTTTTTTAGAGAAGATAAGTCGAATCATTGCATGCACTATGTCTTACCTACATTACTTCTCATTTCGAAAGCAGACACAAACATATATATCAGTAATGTTAAGAAGAAACTAATTTGTTAGGTGAATTATTAGGAGAGATCTAGTTAGCTTTGATTGAGTTACTGAGAAAAAAAAAGTGAACAGTGAGAAAAACACGAAACAAACTATGGGCATATCTGTATGCACGAAACTAACAGGAAGTCTACTATTTTTTGTCAAAAAATATGAATATTTCCAATGAACCATGTAAGAAAGACCGCGGTGAAAAAAATTTATTTTCGGCTACATTATTTTCAAAAGCGATATATTCGCATTTAAATATAATTAGTATGCACACTTAATGGTAAAAAATGTTAACATGTTTTGCAAAACAATAATTCTTAGTAGGCTGTATTTGGGAAAATAATATAGGAATGAGAGTTGAATAATAAAATTTAAATATTGAAAAACAAGAATTGAAGAGTACGTAACAAAGTGGGTAAAAAAGGTCGTCAGTGAGGAACGGAAATGCGAAATTATTGATCGAGTACCCATGTTGTATCAAGTTTATGTTTTACATACAATCAAAATCAAAAAAGGAATAAGCTTGAGGAAAGCCTAAAAATAGGTGAATATGGACAACGATTAAAAAAATTTGCTAAATGATACATGATTCTGGTCTTCACTTTTATTTTGCCAGAGTTTGAGTAATTCAAAGCAACGTTTTCCTAAGACTACTGTGTACTTTGTGAATTACAACAGGACTATGAATACGTCTAATTACCAAACAAAATAAAACAAACCATAACCTTTTTAGTGCGTTCGCAACACACTTCCAACAACGTAGGTTTTAGCCTTGAAAACATTGTTGGGGATGTAAAATCTTCAAAAGTGAACGTATAATGCTTGTTTGTAAAATTTACCTAGTAGAAATTTGAATTTCTTGTTCTTGTTTTTCCCTGACTTGCATGCATTGCTTTTTGATGTAACTTTTAATGACGATCATTTCAGACCAGTAGAAGGGAAATCAACACCTCTTTTGTGATACCGTACAAGGAAGGAACATCAGAAACCACATGAAGGATTCTCAACAATGTTGGAATTAGGGTGGCATTTAAACCAACAAACTCACTTGTCGGCTAAAAGATCCGATAGAACCAATTAGGCAGAATAATATAATCTACCAAATTCCATGTAATGACTGAGGTCAAATACATAGGTCAAACTAGCCGGTCGGGGTCAGTTAGATTAACAGAACATAGGAATTTAGCTAAACATAGAACGACAGATCCCAATAAGATCAATAACCTAGAAAAACACTCGGCCATTGCATTACATTCATTAACACACAACCACACAATAGGGTGGGACAAAACCACTGTACTTAAGTCTAATATAACTAGGTGGAGAGAGAGAGATTAATTACTGAATCTTTGTTCATCGAATCCACACCCAACACATGTAATAGGAATGACGCAACACCTATACCAGAGATATGGAAAACTTTACTACCAATCAAAAAACAAAGAGAGATCAGGTGACAAGACTATAAAATGAGATGTCGAAAGTGGAGTGTGATTACATTGATATGATTATGAGCAATAATTTATGCTCGAAACGTAATCAAGTAAATAATACTGTGTCACTGTGCGCTTTATATCAAATAAACAAATCTAATATGGAATTACATTCTACCGCAATGCCCAAGTTTTTCACTTATACAGTTGCTTTTTTCTCTTTCAATATGCTAAATTTATCTGTTTGTCCAAAGGGTACTTTTACAGCATATAAATAATCAACTACCCGTACTGAGTATACTCTTTCTAGTTGAAATAAACTTCAATCTAGTGTTGTTTTTTCTTTGTGTTAACCGATAAGAAATCATATTTCATCCGTGCAAACAGATCACGTGTCCAAAACTTAGGTATAACCACGAATCCTAGTAAATGTTGTTAAGAAAATGATGGTTTCTGAAAGTTAGATTGGAGAAAGCTTTTATGAACTAAATGCAAGTAAATATCTTGAAAATCTGAAAACTACAAATTTCTTGCCACTTTGGAAATCAACCAGTGTGAGTAAATTCAACATCCTGATAGTTGGACTATAGAACATTATCTTTGTTAACCTGAAAACTACAACATCCAATATTCGACACTTTCTAGCACGCAGAAGTTTTAGCAGATTAAGGGTGAGTTTCGAACTTCATCAAGTAGGGAATTAGTCGCCAATGATATATCTAATACTCTATTGCTCAAATTAGTCACAAACTTATAAACAAGGAAAAGTATCCAACAGATCACTCACAGTAACAGTTTGACCATTGGATAAACTATATTTCGTTGAACCCAGAGAGTTTAATTGAATATCTAAAGGTTCTTTAATAGTCTTGTAAGAAGTAATTTGTTCACTCTGCGCGAAAATAGCATCTGTAACTTTTTCTGGGGCAGGACCTCCATTTTCACAGTTGTACTTAATCCCGAAATCCGCGCATGGTCCACCAGGATTATGACTAGCGGTTAAAAGAATACCACCATTTAAATTGTACTTGCGGATAACGCATGATGCTGCTGGAGTTGATATAATCCCATTTTGACCAACCAATAATTCAGATACCTGAAATATAAAAAAGAACGCATGTACAAAAATTATGCATAGTACAAGTCACAAAAACGAAATATTTTGAAGAGGATAAACATATAGGAAACTTATTCAGAGTGAATGATAACGAGGTGAAACTATATCATCATTACACTTGATTCCATTTGTATTACAGCTTCAAACATTTTATTTGTTACCGTCTGATGTGCGAATTATTCTGTCCAACAAGAGACTAGTAGTAATAGTCGTTGCAAGGAACCAGTTTTGTATAAAACATTGTTATCGATATGAGCGTTTTTAACTTGGCATTCTCACACCATTTTACAGTATGACTATAGTCTACTTTCTGCCCCCATTGTAATGTAATTCGCTGATTGGTTAACTTTTACTCTTGCTATGCGAATGTCTCCAATCGCGGACAAGGTCACATTTTATGTGTATACATAATCACGTGTTTTGGATCGATTGATTACTATACTCTCGGAGCAACAGACTCTCCCATCTTCGGTCTTCTCTCTATTCGCCCAGGGGTTGCAGTCATTGTCTCTTGCGTACTAAGTTGGCTGTCAGCTAAGTGTGCGTATTCTATTTATTCGGAATATATATAACCGTTGGAGTTCGAAGATATAACAGTCGCTTAGTGCCAACAGTTGTTTTCGGCGTTAAAACGTGGCACTTCAAACTGAACAGCTGTTTTCCCAAATTTGGTAATTGATAAAAAGCACATGGCTAGATTTCGCAGCTCTCCTTACTGATTACCTGCAACTAACTAACACTAAATATACAAATTCACAATGCTGGGTTAAATAAACTAGTACCAAAGTGGTAAAGGTGATCGAGACAACTTATTCAGGATGACTTCAGTCATCACCTACTGACTGATTAGTGCACATTGACCTACTCTTGCAAAAGCTATCTGATTCAAACAAATGAATCCAATACAGTGCAGAACAGTACAGAACCACCTCAGATAGCAAGTTATCCAATATACGTATATATACTTACCCCATTAGATAAACATATCGGGATAATAATACGTTGCAGTGATTCTCGAACAAAATAACGCCCATCACCACCCAATAAAAGTCGGATTGGTTGTGACTTGTTAAGGTGATCACCTACAGCAGCATTTAAAATAGACTGGATGAAATTTTCAGTATATCCAGGTTGCATAAAGGTTTTCGTTGGTTTCCTTAATCCACTAGTACCCGGTTTTTGACCAGGAAATGGTTTAGTCGGTACTGTTTCTACTGTAAACATCGAGGACATTGTCTGTAAAAATAAGAAGGAGAATAAAAGAAATGTAAACGTAGTAAAGATGGACAAATCCGCCAATGATTTAGAATTAGGTATGAAGATAACAGATCATAATCCATCTAGCCTGTTAGTACTGTTTGGAAATAGTTTCTTGACAAAGTGGGAATAAAGTGACCATTCGAAAATGGCACATAGAGATGCAAAAAACGAGCAGTTTATCCAACTCTACACTTAAAAAATGTCTATGCAGGTCCAAGTTAGGCAACTTTCAATAATATTCAGCTTTTAAATGTGGCACATTTCCTAATTAAGATGGGTTTCGGTTACATCGCACGGAGCCAAGAGTATCTGGTGTTTTAAAGAATGTCTCTGCAATAAATATTACCACCTGTATAATGAACACGGGTTTATTAAAATGAAAATCATTCCTGTCATATGATGAGGTAGAGATAAAGTTTCTTTTCTCAAAATATACACCAGTCTTTATTAAACTTGGAATGTAAACTTTACACTCATTAGTCATCACAGTAAGACATAAACATTCAGAAATTTCCCATAAGTAAATACTTTATACTGAACATATCATCAAAAACTGCTGAACACTTCCATAAAAGTGTGTAGCATTTTTGGAATAGCTCACTTTCATTTGTGAAAACTAGAGACTTTCTGCACCTCTTTATAAATATACAACGAACTGTTAACTATTTTATAGTTAGTACCTAAACCACCAGGTTTTTAGAACAGTAATCTCATTTAATTGTTTACGCAGTCACTTAGTTACGATAAAAACCTAACCCAGACAAGATGTGTTCAACTGACACAGTTCACTTTGTGATTACTACGTAGTAAACCATATATAAAAGAGGTCCTAACCTCTTGTACATCCCAGGAAAATGTGAAACAGCCTTGTTGGTTTTTAGTTCAAATGCTTTCGTAACTCTTTTGACAAACAACAGATTGCAGTTGATATCATACTGTGACCCTGGCTATTAGTTTGAATGTACGATTTACATAATCTAAGACATGAATTATGCTGTGCCAACATTTTAATGTCATTGCTTTTTGATCTGTGTGGTGCATACTCATTTTTTATTGCTTTTATCTTCACTAGAAAGACCGTCTAAAACGAAATAAGTTGTTGGGATTTACTAAACAAGAATTCTATGAATATTATAAATACTATGTTGATGACTTGCTCAACATTACAATGGGAGTTAGGAAACAAGATTTATTTTCTCTATCTGTCAGTTGCCGAACATACAATAGGATTGAACGTATAACTAGTGATATATGCAAACTATGCCATCCAAAGAAATTCATTGAGTCAGTATGACTTCACCTACAAAAATGACAGGTTTAATAAAACTTTGCATTTCTCAATTCATTTGTGATCTAATATGTCCCTATGGGGTGGAGATATGAGCATATTCAACTGTAAAACAGAACGCCTAGGTCACTATGGAGTTCGTACTATGCGCAACCATAAATCAAAGCGATATAATCCTACAAATATTGAGTCTACACCAGCAGTCGTCATAACTAACGACCATCTCCATATTCGATCAACATGCTGGACAATATGCATGCTTCTTCAGACAGAAGAATTTATGACGAAACACACAGTGAGCAAGTAACCTTCTAACACGAACAACTGCAGTGATGAATACATTGCTTCTATTGATTATGAGAAAATTCTACTGTAAAATCAAACAATTATCTAACCAATAATCATCTTCTGTACAAATAGATTGAACAAAAATAAACTTTCAGAAAAAAACTATTGCACATGCAAAACTAAAACGAAGCTTGTGAGCATAAACTTTTTCTATATTTGTGTACAAAATGCAATCTTCATTTATTTGGTAATGGTTTGCTAGCACCAATGTTAGCCAATGAATCTGCTTCTTCATTTCCATGTATACCATTATGGCCACGTACGTGATACTGTTTGGAGATAAAAACACAGAATATTAGCACAATAGAATAACAAACAAACAAACTGCTACACATATGAGTGAAAATATAGCAAAATGAATAATATCAAAGTAAATTTCAGTTACGAAGAACTTCGAGGTTAAATAAAGATTCTGGACAGTCAACATACGAATTCTGAAAATGACAGCTTATCAGTAGTTACGTTTATCATATAAATTCCATGCAACGAATCGGACCGATGGTGTCCGAAGTCTCCAGGGGATTAAACTCAAACATCAAAAGAGTTCAAGCAATCACTAAGCGGTGTGTGTGTGTATGGCAGGGTTGCATACTTGAACTGGCTAGAAGTCACCACTTAAACCCCAACGTACTAAGTTTGCTATAAAACAGTTAGGTTGGAGGAAATCTAAGAGTGGCCATAATAAGAAGTGGTACCAACCCATGAGAATAGATATAATATAACTCAGCATCCACATTCATGTTCATACACAAGGCAATAAATTGATCCTATTGTGCAATGGTTAATGAAGTTATCCGGTTACCCAAACCTCGGCACGAGGAACACCATCCGGAACCGTGACCCATTGGTTACCAGTCGACTACCTAAACTAACCAACTACAGCATCATAATCTATGAAGTTAGAGAAATAAAATCAACGTGGAATCTCGCACAGAAGTGCACTGTTGTACTTATAGTTATCGCCTTCCATTTCATCACGGTGACAACTTTGCTCTTTGAACTGTATGAGTTGACCATTTGTATTTTCCTCTTCTGTTTCAGATAAGTTCAAATCCATATTCCTGACGGGAAAGGGAAAAACGCAGGTAGGTTGACAACTAGTACTTCAAGCATTTTTATAATGACAAGTTGACAAAATGATTGACGTGTTTGAGCGTGATCGGACAGCAGCTGGTACCGAGCACAGTCCTATTGTCACTTTGTTGAATTGTCATGAATTCTTAGCACTGTTGATGGTCATGCTTTCAGTGAAACAGTCGTGTCCAAATTTAAAAAGGTAAGGAAGTACGATGTTTTTCTGCTCAGTAATGCACTTACTTATTTCAACACTGCACACGAGATTGTCAGCTAATTCACACCGGGAGCATATTTCGGTACTCAGTAGATATATTTGTAGAAAGACAGGGATTTGCAATATGAAACACCGGTAAATTAGCATAGAACTCCCCACGCAAGTGCATCGGTTCGAGTTGCCACACTTCCCAGCAGCATACAGGGAACAAGTTCATACGGAAAGAGTAACATCAAAGTAGACAAAGAAGTATCGTAGGAGAAGGAATTTGAAAATAAAGGTTCGTGAAAATGTTCAAACTTTAGAAGATACCAAAGAGTGAGACCTGCTCCACTGAGACTGATTTCAGCCATGATACGAAGAGCCTCTAACCAGTGTTCATGTTACCTAAGAATGTGAAGGCTACCAACTTGATCGATTAACTTGACCTCTTTGCTTAGTACTCTTTGCCAAAGTTTGGTACTGCTTACACAGTGGTCCTATCACATGTGAGCAACGCTGCAAAAACATCTGCGGTCAAAAACTGTAACCTCTTTATGTCTTCTTCTTTTAACGGCCAAACCTCACATTCATGTAACAGGACAGGACAAAACAAACTGCAGCAAAAAAATACTCCTTCTCTAATAGCTAATCCAACGATATCTCCACAGTCAGAGACACAGATAACGCAAAATACAAAATCAAAAAACAGACCTCCTCTATCCCAACTCCAATTTCATCACACACCAGCCCGTTAGAGCTCATCCAACTCCCCCAAGTAAGTTAAGTGGTCAACACTTCACTCACTACCACTAAACTAACAGTAGTTCCAAACAAGTCCTCAATCATCATCTATCTTACATATGACAGATGAGAAACCAATACCAAACAATCATATTTCTGCTCAACAGACTCTGCATTTTGTCAGTGTCTACACCCAGCAGGATAATGTCGTCTGCGTAATACAACTCAACCAGATGACATCTATGGAGTCGAACACTCCCTGTGAAGTCACACTCACCTAAGGTTGTGTCAAATACTGTATGGATAACGAAATTAAAGAGAAAAGGCGACAACGGGTATCCGTTCCTGGGGGACACCACTGGTTGTCATAAATTCAGATAACAACTCTCTTTAAGCCCTTACACAACTGCGTCAGTTCGAGTAGAGAGCTTTAATAAGTACTACATAGTTGTTCAGTACTCCCTTCATAATCAGACACTGCCGCACCTCATGGCAGAGTCTAATACCATCAGCTGAAAGAAATAGGCTGAGTCAGCCACCGGTAAGAATGCTTGTGTTTCAGAACTTGTGGGAGAGTAAAGATCTGATCGATGCATTCTTGTCCAGGTCTGAAACTTGTCTAGTTTTATCCAGTGTGTTGATTTCAAGTTCCGGTTTAGCATAAGATACCTAAAAACCTTAGAAACTTGGACACGATATTAGTCAACTTGATTTCTTGATGTTTATCACCAAAAGAAGACTCTCCTTTCTCACAGACTGGGGTGACCAGTGCAGTAGACCAGTCTGACGGTACTACGACTGATTCGAACACACCACTTTACACCTTCACTGCTATACTCAGTAATTTATTCCCTCCATCCTTAAAATCTCCGGGTGGTGAACCATCAAGTACTGCTTTGCATCATTTAAGATTTGAAACAACCTTCTCAACTTCAATGAGAGTTAAAGGGATGATATTTACGTCCCATTCAGTTTTCGGCCTGATGCTGGGTAACTCAAGCGGTATTGTAGGCCGGTTGAACTGCTCTTCGAAGTGTTTTGTTCAACGTTCTAGCTATTTGTCCTAGGAGGTTATCAGCATTCCATCCTTTTCAGAGATATTCTCACCAATCATCGCCTTCTCCTGGATAGTATCCTTAATAAACCTAAATAATTGCCGAATATTACCTAATGCTGCTATCTTCATTCCTCTTGTTTTCGTAAACCACCACTGCTCACAATTAAGTTGCTTTCGTTCCTCAGTGGTCAGAACCAGCTGGAATGAGTCTTTTCGCATCAATCAGTTTGGATGATATTTGCTAACCTTCGGGTTACCAACTACCTTTACCACTGTTTTCACAGAGGACTCAATATCACACCACGTTTCATCGGAAAGAGAATTGTTGCCATGTTCAGGAAAACGCACAGATACATTTTCCCTAAATATACACTTGACGTTTTTGTCCAGTCGAGTAGACAGAAACTTTAATTATATCTGTTTCTTGAGACCAGTAACACAAAAACGAATACGTGCCCGTACTAGCACATGTTCGGAGTCCAAATGAGTACTTTAGAAAGAACGGCAATCCTTCACTGATCCTTTCAAGCAGTAGTCTGTAGCAACATGATGTATCCATAGTTAGTTTGATGTCGGTGGACATCAAGTAAGACAGTGTCTTTCCGTACGCTTGAATTTACTTCTCATCAGAAACTAGTGATTGTCAAAACAAAAATGTAAGCGACGATCACCGTTATTGGTTTATTAGTACAAAATACCACCGAGATGTCTTTCTGATTGGTTTCGTTTTCCTACTTGAGCGTTGAAGTAACCTGCTATTACGACTGTGTCTGAACTTATTACTTTGCGTAGCAAAATTGACGGCTTTTGACAGAACTGATCCTTTGCATCATCTGAGTTGAAGTCAGTAGGCGTGTGGGAGGAGACTGTGGACAGGTACCGGCTAGTCTCACAATCCTTCCTAGTTCTCACAGATCCACTCAGTCGAGCAGCACACAGACTGCTGTTAACTGGTATCCAGTCGAGAAGTGCGCTGTCTGCTCAGGAACTTAATACCAAACCTATATCAACGAGTTCATAAGAGCTATCTACTGGATCTTCATACTCTTGCAACGTGAGTTCCGAAGATTCATCGCATTGGCCAGATGAAGTCAAGGAAATAACTACACTCGGATCCTGCACACATGTCTCAAAAACAGCATACACATCCACAGTTCGAGATCCGAGTTTTGGCAAGCGATGCCTGCTGAACAATTCGGCATGGGATTCCAACGTTTAAAGATCCAATGTGTAATCGGCAGCGTAGTTTAAGGTGACTTGAAATAGTGTTCCGATGGCTTGGATCGTTAACGATGGTCGTAGGGTCAGAGGTTGAGGAAGTTGAATGAGGTTTAATATTGGTATCAGACAGTAAAGGCAAGAGAGGCGACAAAAGTAAAGATAGGTTATGGTTAGTTATATACTGCCGGAAGCCGTGGTGGTGGGTGGTCGGCTACTCCCCGGCTACCCACACCATGAAAGAGAAAAGGGATTCGTTTTGCGTGAAACTCAATTGTGCTAACGCCAGATAAGTAAAATTTATACTAATTGTACCAGATGCTGCAGTGCAGAGAGGAGTATGCTATTTTGGGGACTGATCTTTCCTACGCCTCTCGCTTCCCAAGGGGAAGGCAGCATTAGCATGGATCGCCGGTCACCCGTACGAAACACCCTGCTGTTGTCACACTCGATCCAGTCAGTGTTACGACTTCGCCCTTGGACCCCCACAGGGATTGTATCCATTTTCACTATAAAGTCAACTGCTTTCCGTCTCACCACTAACAGCAGATCTTTCTGGTATTATAGGATGTTGAGTGAACCACCGTCCTACCAGCGTAGCTCTGTGGGTCAGCGTGACATGCACGTCTAACTATTATGTTTAGGTAGCAACTACAGGTCAGGAAGCCCTATATTACAGACCCAAGCTACGTAATGAAACAAAAGCTTTTAGGTTAGGAATGACGAAACAATGAAAAAAGATGACTGGAGACTGTAAGTGATACGGTTCAGAGTCGATCTCAGTGGCGTAGTAATATACGTTCACCTAAATCATTACGTCACACATTAATAGCAATATTTCAGTAGCGAAAAAGCAGTACAATAGCTACTGAGCAGTATACACAATCGAAAAATTATGCTGTCACGTGAAAAAATGTTGAATTTTGAACTGGTAGACAAGTATAAAACATTGAGAAGATTGTGAGAACAAGTGTTGGCACCATGAGAAATGAATGAAAATGACTGATAAAGATGAAAATGTTTGCTGGTGCTCAAGAAAAGTGTGTATTTTTGGCAGTGTATTTACTTTGTAGCTTGCAAGCACAGTGTGATTACTACCGTAGGTACTGCATGAAGAAATAGATTACTACTGCATGACCTCGGAGACTAAGCGATGTTTGCTCGAAACCAGTCACACGTACACATTTTTCCAAGGTTTCAGGAATTTAATCCGTTTCTTGAGAAACTTCACCGTTGACAAAAGGGAACCACATGACAAGACAGAATGTGGCTTTTAGGACTGCCTTCTTTTAATTCCCCTTCCTAGAATGGAAACACAACACCTTGGAGTGCTAGCTACTCAAGTGAAACATTTTACTAGCGTCATATCCTTGCCCACCTACTGAAACAACTTTACTTCCAGAATCATCATAACGGATCAAATAATTTAAAGCCTGAATAATAAGCTTTTCGCTTTACTGATTTCCAGCTGACATTTCATGCATGATGAAAACTTTCTAGGTCACTCCAACAGACATACCCAACCACTGGGTTTGGGAATTAAGGTACAATAGTACCTAGTTTACTACTCGTTATTAAAACTTAGTATATCACATTATTGTTGTTGACCCATAGAGGAAAACTGAGTTTGCTCCCAATTCAGCGAAAAAAACAGTAAGTGCAGATAGCCATGAGCAATACTGACAGCTTTTTAAAAAGATATACTGTTACGATGCGGAGTTGTGAAGATGCACAATAATAACTAACGATTGATAGTCGAGAGTTGAGACAGTTCAACCCGAGTGATTCGCAAAGGGAAGTCAAAATACCGGTAATCAACTGAGTTTATGATATCTTGGACTGCAAACGTTTATCAGTGAAGACGGACCCTAGTTACAGAGTTTACAGTAACCTTGAAAGACAAGGAACAATTAGTACGTTCAAAGAGACAGAAGTCAATCAGAAACCTAGCACGTTGTATGAAATGTGACCTGTGTACGGGGAAAAGAGCGGGAAGAAAACAGCTCAAACATATACAAATTATAAGTATGGAATATAAGGGATGTAGGAATCCCAAACATATACAAAACATCATACCTTACCCAAGTTATTTCAAGACCTGGTTCAGCCATAGCTTCAAGCAACCGTTTCACTGGTTCTTTCAGTTTGGCGTCTTCACCATTAGCCAACTTCCATGAATTGCGTGCCCATCGTGGACCCCATTCAGTCGCACAGTTTTGGGTAAACTTGCTATCTGTAACTATTCCCAAATGACATATACCTCCACTCCTCGCTTGTTTAATAGCACATATTACTGCCTGATAACAACCATATTTTAGAAACACAGAATTAGTGCCTTTTTAGTTAAGCAATATGAACTAAATAAAACTGAAAAGACGGTAATGGAGATCAAATAACACAGCTTAGCGATCATGAACAAAACCAAGAGTACACCTACAGTAAATCATGTGAGGGCTACTGATACTACCCGCTTAACAGCGGGTTTGGAGCCCATGATTCACTGGTTGACGACCTGAATCTGAGTTAAAGCTCCAAAAAATAAACAGCTATAGGACGAAGTACATTTAAATACCGTATCCTTCCAATAAAACTATAATACGGTCATTGGATCACACAAGTTTTCACCGTTGTGAGAACCAGAAACTTGAAAGTTACAAGAACCCCATCAAGCCACATATGAAACAGAGTACCCGTAGGGAAATAGTAATAAAAGTAATACAAAAACATACTACTGCAGATTTTCTTTAGCTAATGTTGAATATACAAATTTCGCCACTCTATTCACCTATGTTTAGACAGTCATGTAGTATCATTGGTCCTCAAAGGATCTGGAGTCTGCAAACTTGCACATGGTTGGTAACTTACTTTTTTTTTATCCCTGTACACGTTCTGATGACATCTATTTTCTACGTGAATGTTTTCATACACGGTAGTAATGTAGATTACCAAAGCCAAGCAAAAAACGAAGCTCTTTGGTAGAAGTTTTATTGTAGCGTTAAATAGAATGCATGTGAATGATATGCGGAAAGTAATTCTTAAAACTGTGTGCCAAAACATATAGCAATCACCTTGTACATAGGATGAAAACACCAGTGCAGAAAGTAGATGATTCGAAATAACTGATAAGCAATGACGACAAGCATATCATGAACATACATTTCTTTCTGCATTAATTGCCATTTCAGTTCCATGGATTATGTTTTGATCCTGAGTAGTAAGCGAACTATATCAAGTGATGAGACACGACTCCTCTCGATAAGGCGCATGCGGTGGCCTGTACATAAACATTAGAAATTCAGTGGTAATGTGGACAAATTTGTGAAACTAAGTTTTGTGTCAATTAGTTTCCAAGAAAACATCAGCCGCGTCACGGATGTGCAAACCTCCTTTGGAATCGGAAGTCATTTTGTTCATTTCTGTAACTAGAAAAGTTGCTATCACTTAAAGTATGATTGACATTTTTACCAATAGGCCAGCTGATAATAAAACAGCCTTGGAACCGTGCTGCATGTTATTACAGCGAAAAAATTTCTCTTCATTTGAAATCAATATCACTGGTAAGTCCTTTCGACGATAAGCGTTTCATAGTTTCTTGTGTTTGAACTTTCTGGTTGCAACTAAAGCCTCAAGTTGCTTACTAGCTACAGTTGACATACGTGATATTTGAAGTGCAATAGGTCATTTAGGTTGGGTTTACAACAGGTTATGTGAAAATCTAGGTCTCCTCGGTTTTGACTAACAATTGTAACTGCGAAGATTCTCAGTTCTTATTCACTCGTACAACGAATAAAAGCGTTAACAAATGACAACAACTTCATTACTTGAATAACATGTGATTTAGAAAACTTTCTTATTCTATAACCTTTTGCTGTGAATCACAGCACGTCCAGTACCAGGAAGACAGGTAGAAACAAACAAACGGTGTTAAACCAATTGATTTTTAGTGGTAATAATGTTGGAACGTTAGAGAAAATAAATTTGCTGTTAACACATCTGAATAGCAAATACACAAACGGTCAAAATATAAAAATGGTCCATGATTGTTCAGATTACTCGTGAGGTGCGATCTTAAAAGAACATGAGTACCAGACAGCATTGTATGATTTGGAGCTGTGGAGCATTGGTCTAGGTACCTGATTCCCAATTGGCGGGTTGTGGGTTCAAACCCAGCTTCACCCACCACGGTCTAGACAGTCAGGGAGTATTATTAACCCTTATAAAACAGATGTGGCTCACTGTCTACTGTACAAGGGTTGCATGATTCACGAAAATGAGAAACTGCATGCTAATGAATTATCAGGCCTATGAAACAAATCTGAACTAAGGGATGATCAAATACCAAAGAACAAGGAACGAGCAATTTCCTGTTCTTATATCTGGAAAAACATATATATCTGAAAAGCCAAATATAGTATAAAGGTGATTGATCTCACTTCAAAGCCTTGACGCTCAAAGTGAACAAAAAGCATTTATGTAGACATAATTCCAAGTAACCGAAACCAGTCTACTAAAAATAAACAGAATGAGATTGAGGTCAAAAGAACTGGGTCACTAAAGGACTAGAATAATCTGTTAAGAACTCTATAGAACTCCGATAACAAACAGGCTTCAACTTTGCTTCGATAACAGATTCCATGTAGGTTAACTGGCAGTAGTTCCCTCTACCCCAATGTAACTTGAAATAACCATTAAAGGTGAAAGAAATAAGGCTTTGTGTGTTCGACCACCGTTGCTTTCGTAGCACAGGTCACGTGTTGTGAAACTAATACATCACTAACGCAGCTGGGTGCCGTTTAGGGTGAGAGGTAAAGTTAGTAAATTACAGCATGGCACCAGTCCATGAAGCGTTTGAGTTACTTTAAGCCACGTAAAAAAAATGTAGACTTCTTGGCTAAGGTCCCTGACACAAAAGCAATCGGTAGTTGCAGGCTCTGGAAGACATAGCTGGGAATCGATTTCAGTGGCACAGATGCGTACACATACTTTCACCTTAACTATCATGCTGAGTTTTGTTATTGTTTCACTGTTCTTCTTCCCTTTTTATAGCTATCTACTACTTTGAATACTGGCCTCTTTACTTATTTGTATTCAATCTTTGTGCTACACAGCGAAATACTGAAGAATGGGTGAGATTTTAGATCGGTTGGTAGAGTATTGTTTAGGAAATAAGGAATTCTTCAATTGTAATGGTCATACGAGCATCCCAGAAGCCGAATTATTGAAGTAGTGACAACCATGATAGAAATGCTGCTAATCTGCATAATATTATGATGTGAAAACCATAAGTAAGATCAAATGATAACGAATTCATGATATTTACCTCAATTTCCGCTCTATTGTTTGTCTGTTCTCCTTCTAAACGTTCAGATACATTCCTTAAAATGATAATGCTTCTCTTGAACCTACCATGGATGATTAGGACCCCAGTAAACACCATAACCAGCATGACGATCATCGGAAGCACCTTTGCATGAACCATCTGTGTAAACCATTACACGCCGTGGACATGATGCATCTGCTCGAAAATAAGCAGAATGGGTATCAAGCGTGAGATAGTTCGAAAAGGAGAGCGATATAACTACGTAATGGTCAAAGTTGCCACAAAGGTAGGAAACAGTAGGGAGGACAAAGAAACTAAAGCAATAAGATCAGAAATCATGAAGGAAGTTTGAACTAAGTGGGAATGTCGGGAAAGTGATATCTGTCAACTTGTTTATAGGATTAGGAGATACTGCGAAGGGAATTCTAAAGAGAATCCTTTTCTGATTTCGGTGACTAGCAGAGGAATCCAGGATGCGCGTTTCGTTCTATTTGGGGCTCGTCAGCTGGATGTACATGCACCCCAGCAAGTGTTGTCCCCACTGAGGCTCGAACCGAGAACCCTTCGCTACAAACTCCAGAGCATTATCTACTAAGCCACTGAGGCACGATAGCCAACTCTTGTGCAACGGGTATCAGTTGTTGTAATGGATGAGGATTAATCCAAGGATGATAGGGTATGCAAGGTTTACCATAAGAAGCTTAGTGGATTTGGACCACTATGACTACCTTTTCATCGGCAGCCTGCTTGAATATCTGGGCTACTAAATTTTCCACCAATTTTTCAACAGATTTATTCATTTTAATCTTTCTACTACGTCTTCTGACCGCATTATATATTCACGCACATTTTTTAGAAAGCTTACGGCCTTCTGCGACGCCAGTATCAAATAAGATGAGGAAAAAGCATCAAGGCGGATGGCAACGTGCTTTAAAGCGAACAACCTTATCTCAAATTACTCTGCCTGAAACTATAAGCACGAACTGCAGGGAAAGGTAGATTACTTACAATCTCTTTTGTCCTCCGATGTGCATAGCAATACTGTAGTAATTACACTGCAAGAAACTTGGTTACATGAACTGTATGATGAAAATTTGACTTCTCTGAATGAATTCAAAATTTTCCCTCAAGATCGATGTAGCTCTACTAAGAAAAGTAGAGGTGGAGTAGCTACCTTCATCAATACCCATTAGTTCATTTTGAGTTACATTTGCTTCAAATCCTCAAATGACTACACAGACTGCATCACTGTAAAGTGCCACCCATAACATTTGAACATACATCGCTTTATTTACATAACAAATATTTATGTAACGCCTGGTTGCAGTTTCTCCGAACTATCCAGTTTCTCTGATATATTCACGGAATTCGCAGGCCCCACACTCTGTGGTTTCCGGTCGACAATATGCGGCGACTTCAATTCTTGTGACCAAAGCTTTCTCAAAACCCTTGGTCATCAAAACATAGTGAACTTCACAACACGTCGGGATGCAACACTAGACTTGGTATTTATCAATGATACTGATATATACGAAACTCGAAAGAGATCCCCACTGCTCAGCTCAAATCATTGCATTATACGTGTTTTGCCCAAACTATATGGCAAACTTCATAAAACGGCTTTCATATATAAGATTGTACATAGAAACTATTCACTTAGAAACATACTTAATCTAGGAGAAATGATACAAATGTACAGAATGGAATATATTTGACAGCGGTGTTTTGAACGATACTATTGATGGTGGTGTGCTATCTCAAGTTCTGCCTAGATATATGTTGCTCCAGTGAAAAGCTTTCTCTACACTTCGATCGTATATATCTTCTCCCCAGCTAAAGAAACTAAGAGAAAAAGAAAGACCATATAAGGTAAGTGATAACGCTGGTGCTCGTCGATTGAACGTTTTAATTAGGTTGGAAATTAAACGTCTGAGTCTACTAAACAATCAGAAACTTTTGTCATGTAAAGGCTCTTTCAGTAGGTGGAAACTTTTTAAAGACCTCACTGGTAGTAAACACCTTGGTAAAGAAGCACATGTCGATTTCTGTGCCCTGAACAAATCGTTTACACGTCAACCCACTTGTTTGATCCCACTTTGTCTACCTATCTCTAATGAAGAACGTTGTCCACAGTTCACCGCGAACAATGTTTTTAAATGTCTCAAATCCCTGAACCCTTCTCACAGTCCGGACGGTGTGTCAAGCTTCGTGTTAACGAAGCGTGCTGATATTTTACGCCATCTACTAGCTAACATGTTCAACAGATCATTTTCAGAAAACACCATACCAGCTGCCTGGAAAGATATTAAGATAGTCTCCATACCTAAGTCTAGGACTCCAGGTGCATGTACAAAATACCATCCGACTGCAGTTACCTATCCGTTCTTAAAAATAATGGAGAAGCTGATAATGCCTGCGTTCAAGCCCTCACTGGAGGCTTTCGGAGACCCTAATCAATTTGCCTATAAAGCAAAAAAGCTCTTTGGATGCCACCACCCTCTTATATCACGATATTACCTATAGTCGATAAAAATCCCAAGTATGTCAGGTGTACCTTTTTAGACTATACTTCGGCATTTGACTCTGTCCCAAGACCTTTTTAACTGGACAAGCTAACCGTGACAAATACTGAGTCCTGGATAATCAGCTGGCTACATTCCTATTTCTCTGATAGGAAACAACATACTGTTCGCAGAGGGAAGAGCTCCACCTGATTGCTTACTGTAACTGGAGTTCCCCAAGGGGCCATCCATTCCCTATGCCTTTTCTCATTCTTTCTGCATGACCTACCATCTTCAGCTGGTATCAATTTCGTTAAATATGCTGATGACCTAACAGTTTACATACCTATCTCCTTTTCAGCAGATTGCTCCCAACTGAATGATTTCCAATCTACTGTTAGACGATGGTCCTCCTCTTCAAAATGTCAGACCATAAACTTTAGTTTTAGACGTGAACATAACTTATGTAAACTGCGTAGCCCTGTTCTAGCGATAGCTGTGCATTAGAGAATGTTACAAATGTGATTTTTCTTGGATTGCGTTTTCCTTCGGACCTTTCCTGGTCTTCTCATATCTCACTAATTTTCAAAAGAATTTTTCGACTAACTTTCGACATTAGGAGGCTGAGAGTATCTGGTATTACTCAGTCTCTCCTTTTTTGTTCTATAAACTGCCGTATCTTGTCTGTCCCCCCTATTGCTCCCCTTTACTTCTCCTGGGTTGCTGGAAAAAGACTGCTATATTGCATAGAGCTTTGAAGATTGTCAGCAGAACTAATGGTGTGCCCCTTAACCTTCTAGTTAAAACTGTTGTGGACAAACACATTAACTAATGTAAATATCTGGCAGGAGTTATTTTATCAGATGACCAACATCCTCTTCACTAGAAGCCCTCTACGTGTCGGTCATCTGCAAAGACGAGGAGCAAGTACATAAGACTCTATGCACGTACTACAAAATATAAAACTACCATACCGTATTTAGTTCGTCTGTTGTGTAATAAAGCATTAGAAATTAACTAACTAACCAGCTTCTGTTTTTGAAAGCAAACTAACTGAAGATGAGCATGTTACTTTTTACATATCATGAATCTGATTGCCGTGAGTCTACCTAAGTTGACTGTGCATTTTGAAGAAATTTGTAGATAGAGCAAATATTTTTATCATTTCTTCATATAATTTCTATTTATTTCATTTTGCTATATATACATATACACTGTCTCTATCCAACTGATGCGATATGACATGATGAAAATTCTGATGAGTATTCCCGAAATAGCTTTCAGAATAAAGCTATTGCTATTATTATTATGACGATGATCATTAATTGTAATTTCCCGTTGCTATATAACATCACGAATATCAGGCAGTATCGATGCATCCGCATAGAAGCCTGTCTGCCAACAGAGGTCGGGCAATTTGGCACCGTATGGCAACGCAAAATTACAAGTACCATTGCTGCAACGAGAATCCTTTTCATTCTTTTCAGCTTCACCATTACTCAAATGAAATCGATTATACTGGGTGGAAAAGTCAGCTTATTGAAGTTCAAGCAATTGTCAAGTTTAAGTCTGACGATATGTTTTAAGGCCAGATGCAATGACACATGGATTCACTGTCTTAATCCGCAATCCAAACATCCAATTATTTAATACTTATTTTCCATGTCTACTTATTTTCTTCTCTAGTCCGTTCAGGAATTTTTCTAACCAATGTTAATTCTATTTGATTCGTCGAGCGACATAAATTCCATCGTATCTGGAAATGTAAAACACCTATGATCCCGTATCATGAGAATACACTACAAAAACACCACTGCCATTGTTTTCTGACCTGCAGAAACCTCATAGTATTGACATTATAAACGAAGGTACACAAGACTTCTCTTTAGATCTAAAGCGATGTCAACAGCTCTGAAATGTTAGCGTGGTAAAGGTAATAGGTGGGACTGACTACTGATTCCTTGGAACAAATATAAAAATGAACCTATCCTGCATTGCTCAAAGTTGCCAGTTATCAACAGGGTATACAGAAAAACAGAAACATTGGAATTCAAATGAATCGAAACACAAATGAATGAGGACTAATCCAAGGGTGGCAGGGTATCCAAGGTTCACCATACGAAAGTTAGTGGATTTGGACTACTATGACTACTTTCCATGAGTTATTTACGGCCCACAATCACTTGCGGTTATACCAGGGACACAAAAAGTGAAAAACTTTTACATAACACCTAAAGCCGGAAAATCGGGGAAACCGTGTTATTTCTGAAGCCTGCAGTGAGAATAGTAGGCCACTAGCCTGTGTTAATCCTTACAGCAGCTGACACTGCGGAAACTCAGTTTTTCCTTAGACATATTAATCAAAGGAGCTGCTAGTATCTGACTTAGCCAAAGTCGGCTTCCTTACATCCTACAAATACTTTAGGTTACATCAAGTGTGAAGATAAGCGACGATAAGCGAATACCCAAAACAATACAACCGATGGTCAATAGTTTAACTAAAAATTTATGACCCCTCGACTGATACGGTTGGTGAGGGGGTTTAAATTGCTTTGCATGCCTACATCTGAGTCATCAAGCAACATTAATAATTCTAACAAAACGAAGTAAATAGCTGTGACCACGGTTTATAAGTGATCACTGAGTTACTTTTTATGCATCCAGGTGCCCACAAATCATGTCACTCACTGTAGTCGCGCAAAATATCTCAACCTGTTCCGAGTGCTTCCATCACGTATCGTTGTTTTCGCTAGTTGCAGCTACCAAATAGTAAATAGACGACACAAAAAGAAATTACTAATACGCCCTCCACGTAGCGAATAGAAGCGGACATTATCATGCAATACACAAATTTTACCAAGCCAAAGCTAAAGGATAAGTTTGAAAGAATAGTAAAAACAACAAGTGAATCCTTGAAAACCTTCGAAAAAAGTGTATGAAAGAATTACCGTCAGCCTCTTAAACACTGACGTTATTGGTGAACTCTGCATGGAATAGGCAACCTAAACGTGAATGAAGTATTACCATGGTAAAAAGTCATCATGCTTGGATTCCCTTCATTGTGAACTGAATTTTTCTCAGTGGTTTCCATTTCCAGTGAGGAATAATCTGCTTTCGTGAGACAGAATGATTTCATACCTTTGCCTGATGAGTAATCACATGCATCAACGATTTTGCGCTTCTTTAAAGGGGCACCTTCAGGAAGAGATTCAGTTTCTGCTAAATACCGGCATCAAGAGTATGGGGAAACTACCAACAAAGCTTTTAGCCTCATCATAAGAAGAAAATTTTTTATAGCGAGCGCCAGCATAACCTTTAACTAGATTCTCACACTCAGACCTAACTTTTTCCAGTATACCTCATAAACAACTTACCAACTCGAGAAAACACCGACGCCACGGCCAACTCTAACCCCGTAGTAAGGCATTTTGGAGGTGGCATTAGCCTGGAGCGCCAAACCAAATCAACGTCAAGGTCACATAATGCAGCGAATATAACAACATTTCAAAGCTTTATATTATTGATAAAGAAAGAGGAGAAGCCTTTACTCGACTTGCTTTCACATCTAGAGGTAGTTGGTTGAAAGCTCTTTCTGTTGTTAAACAAAATGTAAAACAAAGAATGGTACTAATGTTTGTTGGTGGAACAGAAGAAGTCTTCGCTTCGAATTCAGATTTGTTGTTTCAGAATAGGATGCTGCAAGCTTGTATTAGTCCTTTCCCGGTAGATTTCTGCGCTTTTTGAACTAGTCAATGGGTGATGCGGACACTACTTCTTCCAAGAGTCGGACCCAGGAGTTGATTATTCAACACGAGAACCAGTACTTTGTCGAGACTATGTTCGTTCTTTGCTTTTGTAGCCTCCTACCATGTCCTCTGAGGTGTTGCGAGCTGGTGAGAAGGAAAAAAAACGATAGATCAGGTCCAAGGCCATTTCTTAGAATCCTGTATGGGGTGATTAGACCTCCCCTGTGTCTGCAATTGGATAAAAAGAGGGGGTTCAGCTCCTTAAGTCGGTCTTCATAGGTGGGGCCAGACATCGCGGAGGTCATACAAGTGGCTGCCTTCTAAATTCTTTCTAGAAGGTCTGCATCACCTTTCAGACAAAGATTAGCCGCCTGCGTACAGTTTTCTAATTTGGATCTAAATAAGCATGAGTATATGATGATGAAAATATCACCACTTACTTTCATGAACGTTCTACGTAAAGCCCAAGTGTCCTAAAACTCCGAGCTGCAACTATTCGACAGTCTGCCATGGTTTTCAAGTCATAACTCACTGTGACTACCAGGTCAATGTGGATCAGTACTGACGTTCGAGGAGTCCCGTCAATAACCGGCTTCTGCGTCTAAAATCCGTGGATCACTACTTTTGAAGCTGTAAGCCTATGTACAGGCAGAGAAAGAGGAAATAGTGATGGTTGAAATGTGAAAATCCAGTTAGTTTTGGGCAGATCTCAGCCACACGCCAAGTAAATATCCAGTCGACGTTTAAAGGATTCAGGCGAAGCAGCCTGGATCACATCTGGAAGGAGAACTTTCTGGGTCTTAACAACTCTTGGGGAATAAACGTTGTACCCGATATCTGACCTGCTATGTTCCACGCTTGGCTTCTATGTGTGTCCTCTAAGATTAGTCCTACAGCTAAGATTTAATAAATGATACAGTGGGTCTGCAGATGTGCTCAGAGTGCTGTGAGTCGTTTACAAGTGTCCTCTTAGCCTTCTGTATTCCAGAAGATACATATCCGGCACAACCAATCGTCCTTCGTATGTTTCGAATCCAAATCCTGGAACAGACTTTGTCGAGCGCCTCTGGATGCGTTCTAAGGTTAATTTGTTTTTATGGAGAGACGGAAGAAGACAGTGATCCCGAACTCCATATGGAGTCTATGAAGTTTCTGAAAATTTGATGTGAGCATCTACGGTAGGGCTATCCGAAAATTCGTCCAAGAGTTACTAAGGCCAGGTTTCCACGAAATGCGTCTGTATCACAGCTGGCATAGGATTTTAAGTTTTGAGGAACTAAACTGGCCAAATCCTTCTCTATCAGTGACTTCAAATTGCATCTCGTTGGGGCTACAAACATGAAGTGTTTTATGTTTTACGTGTGTCACCCTACATTTCTCAGGATCAAATGTAAGTTTGTTATTGACCACCCAGTTTTAAAGTTCGGTTAAGTCTTCTTGCGCAGAAACAGTGTCTTTCCCACTTTTGATTTCTCCCTATAGTTTCAGGTTGTCAGCAAAAAGAAGGGTTTCGAAAGAAACCTGTTGAGGCAAGTCATTTATGTATATTAGAAAAAGAAGATGGCGGTTAGAAGGGAGGAAAACGTTAATTATTACTGAACCCACAGCTACCTCTTAAACAGATGCCGAATCGAAATTTGATGGATCCCAACTAAGTACCTTGAGCCAACTCTGCAGGTGGGACATCCCAAAACCGGAAAACCCTTAGTGTGCCGAAGACGTGCCATGTTTCCCCCCAACAACCCACACTTTGCTCTAGACGCAATTACAGGCACCTTCAAACTTCCAAAAAAAGATATAACGGAGAGAATAACCAGCAAAGTACGCTTATTGTAAAGGCCCTGACTTCATTTCGAGGCATAAATATAAGTCGTTTTATAGGCTTATGCTTTATAAGTTTAGTGAAGGGCTAAAAGCAAGAGCCTTTTACTCACTGAGGACTGGTGGTCATAAGAGGTCCTGAATCATGGAATCTTAAAAATAAAAAGGCGAGCAAAAATGATATTCTCTTTACTGAAAGCAATATTTGTGGTACGCTATGGAATTGTCAGCATATATCTTTCAACGAACTCACGGAACAGTGTTTTCAGATGCAATAGTTTTATATCCTAATGGAGTCAATAATAGCAGTATTCAGAGCGATAACATGAAATAGCCAGCTAACCTTGGGTTAGTGTCTGTTCTGCATTGAAGAACCCAAAGAAACTATAGCGTAAGTTTGGTGGTGGCGTTTCATTCAGCCAGTACACGAATCTGCTGCTCAAGCTGAGTAATTGAAGGATAAAAATATGCCGTACTTTCTCGCACCTAAAAGTCCACTTCCTTATACCGTGACGTTTTTCTGTTTTGTTGTCAACTGGAGAAATGGTGGACAGTGGATAGACACCACACTTTCCTACGTTTCACTTGATACAACCATCCGTGCCATTTACGTCCCCCCTAGTCACCTGTGGAAGTGAGTAACAACCGAGTTCCAGCCAGATCTGGTCTCAGGAAAACCTCAGGTAAGCCTCACCTCAGCTACTAACCCCGCCACCCTTGGTAGTAACTAGGGCCAGAGGCAAGGGGCTTAATGCCGCCGCAAAAGATCACGATGTCGACCTCGGGAGGACAGTCATAACTACCACTTCCTGCGAAAAGTTGAATTCCTGTCCCTCTGAACGCTTGCGCTTTAGTTCATCGAAGAGCACGTCTTCCTGGTGTCACCAGCTCAAATGCTGGTCTACCTGTGGATCCGACTGTTGAGAGACGGAAGGGAGGGAAAGGAAGTCTCTGACTAAGCCTTCTGGTCAGACTGGCGACTGTCATACGTGCGGTCTCACCGTGGCCAAAAGGGCTGCTGCTTTGAAGCGTAACCTCTGCAATAATCAGGTACATAGTCAGTGTGCTAGGACATACCGGATCAGTATTAGCCTTCATGGCGCGCTACCCATGCACTTGGTTCCGGTACATTTGCACACAGTGCCGTATTTGGCCACTCTTTTCTACAGGTTCACTTAGGGAGGTTCTAAAAGACCGCAGTAGCTGCTGTGATGTCAGCACTGGCACAGACCACTACCCCAGGTCCAAGTGAATGGAGTGTCAGCACCGTTCCCCGGACAGCCACACCTGTGAATAGTCCCAAAAGACCCAGACGACTACCAGGCAGGTGACCAGCCATGACAATCCCTTACCCTGAAGGCGATTTCACGGCTACCCCACTGTACATCGGGAAAATGGGTCACAGTGGAAAAGAAGCTGCACCCTTCCCACGAAAGCCCACCAGCAGCACACAATAACAATGACGTGGCTGACAGATGGAATTCCATCATCCCACTTAACGTCCCTGTGTGCCACGATAACCTTCTTGAGAAGAGTCTTTGACAAGCGGCAATCACAAACGGTGTGCGCCATACTGGGGCTGGGTAGCTTGGAAACAAAGCTGTGCCGATCCTACAAGGGTAACTACCCACCCCAGGGAAAGCCCCTGCCAACGAGAGTGACCCTGAGCTCGGCTAAGAAAGCGGAAAGATTCATGCCGCTGTCACGTATACCAGTCGCCGACCAGTCATCTAGCAATGAGGTCAGGCTAGACCGGCCATGGTCAGCGATAAAAGTATCTTGCAAGGCACCCCATGCGTTGAGACCAACAACCATGGCTGTTCACGGCATACAGGAACTAACAACCGGTGCATAAGTAGAAAAGTATCCTCGTGACGTTCAACAATGGCAGTGGTTATCGGCGAGGATAGGGTTAAATGAGACAGCGGTGGCAGTGGCCTACAGGCTGCCGCATCCCCACATCCGGCGGCGACAACATCACCCAGGTTGATGGCTACTAACTTCGGGTGTCAAGAACTTCTAACGAAAGTACTGTAAACTTGGCGCACAGCTAAAGACAACCACGGGGGACGTTCACTGCCATGAAAGCAGATGCAGGACACTGCGACGATACAGAACGACAGCTCCGCCTAGTGCTGAGGTCATCATCACTGCCAACAGACAGTGAGAGAAAACGTGATTGGGCCGGTTCTGATAGAGCTGGCCGTCCTGTGACAAGTTCCACCATCGCGCACGACCCCTTCAGTCTGCGATCACCAAGACACCCCATGTTGTTAGGATCATATTCAAGTGTCTTTACAGTAATGTGAGAAGACTTAGAAGTGAGATGGCAGAATTAAGATCTCTCTGTTTCTGCCTTGCTCCAAAGACCATAATCCTGACAGGAACTTGGTTATCACCGGATATTAGTGACATCGAAACTAGTATAGGCTGTATGAGTCTGTTCAGAAGAGACAGGGAATTTAAGGAAGGGGGCAGGGTGACAGTGTTTATAAGTGACCATCTTAAAAGCGAACGAGCAGCTGAAACCCTAATTTTAGGGCTCCCAGACTCCGTCTGATGTCACTTTACGTTTGGACACACCCAGTACCTGGTATGGGGCGTCTACAGAACTCCTACTAGCATTGTGTAGTATAACCACAACTGCTGCAAGTAATGTCCGGAGTGACGTCCACGGGATATGACCAGGTAATTATGGCCGGAGACATCATTTATCCTACCCACATGTGAACCTGGTTCAAAAACACTAACCAGTGACTACAGACCAATCAATATTTCTCCCGTAGTTTCTAGAATCATGGAGAAAGTAACTAAGGGAGGCGTTCTTCGGTACTTGCTTAGTAGCAACATCATTACATCCAGTCAACATGGTTT